CTGCTTCAAGATATCTTGCCTTTTGGGACCAAACCAATGTATAACCTGCATGTATTGATTGATGGTTTTTTGTGTAACTTCTGCTTCCCTGAAATGTATAAAACAGAATTACATTCTGACTGCCTCAGGACTACTTATTCAAGGTTTCCTGGGTTTGTGTTTTCTGCAGGCCACGGTCACTCACATTGGCTCAGGTTAAACATCTCTGAAATATTTTTCATGATTTGTTTTTTTTTTTACATTAACACAAAATAAAAGCCGTTTTCTTAGTACCATATTCCCACTTCATTTTTTTAAAAAAAAAAAACCTTTGTGGCAGGGTGCAGTGGCTCATGCCTGTAATCCCACCACTTTGGGAGGCTGAGGTGGGCAGATCACCTGAAGTCAGGAGTTTGAGTCCAGCCTGACCAACATGGGAGAAACCCTATCTCTACTAAAAATACAAAATTTGCTGGGCGTGGTGGCGTATGCCTGTAGTCCCAGCTACTCGGGAGGCTGAGGCAGGAGAATTGCTTGAACCTGGGAGGCGAAAGTTGTGGTGAGCTGAGATCACATCACTGCACTCCAGCCTGGCCACTTTGTTTCAAAAAATAATAAATCAATAAATAAACCTTTGCATGTCGTTATACTGCCCTGAAGCAGTGATTCTGAGAAGGGTTAGTCTCTAGGCAGTAGGCCAAACCAGTGAGATCATAATGTCTGGTAAGATCAGTGTCAGTCTGTTTTCTGTTGCTGTAACAGAGTATCACAGATTGGGTAATTTATAAAGAAAAGAAGTTTATTTAGCTCATGGTTCCGAGGGCTGGGAACTGTGGAGGAGCCATATCTGGACTTCTTACTGTGTCATAACATGACAGAAAGCAAGAGGGCAAGAGCATACATGTCAGCTCAGGTCTCCCTTCCTCTTCTTATAAAGCCATCAGTACCATCATGGGGGCCCCAAGCTGATGACTAAGTCTAGTTCTAATCATCTCTTAATACTGTTACAATGGGGATCAAGTTTCTTTCTTTCTTTGTTTTTTTTTTTTGAGATACAGTCTTACTCTGTCACCCAGGTTGGAGTGCAGTGGCATGATATCAGCTCACTGCAACCCCTGCCTCCTGGGTTTAAGTGATTCTCCTGCATCAGCCTCCTGAGTAGCTGGGATTACAGGTGCCTGCTAGCACACCCGGCTAATTTTTGTATTTTTAGTAGAGATGGAGTTTCACCACGTTGGCCAGGCTGGTCTCAAACTCCTAACCTCCCAAAGTGTTGGGAATACAGGCGTGAGCCACCATGTTAGGTGAGGATTAAGTTTCAACATGCGTTTTGGTGGGGACATTTAAACCCTAGCATTCTGCCCCTGCCAACTACCCCAAACTCATGACCTTCTCACAAATAAAATATATTCATTCCATCCTACTGGCCCCAAAAGTCTTAATTCACTTAGCTATCAACTCAAACAGTCCAGAGTGTCATCTGAATCAGATATGGGCGTAACTCAAGGGATAATTCCTCCTCAAGTGACTTCTCTCCAGCTGTAAACCTGTGAAGTCAAAACAAGTTACCTACTTCCAAAATACAATGGTGAAATGGGCATAAGATAGATATTCCCATTCCAGTGGGGGAAATAGGCAAGAAAAAAGGGGTAACTGGTCCCAAGTAAGTCTAAAACCCAAACAAAAAACAAAACAAAACAAAACAAAAAACATTAAATCTTAAAACTTCAGAATGCTCTTTCAGTCCATGTGCAATCTTCTGGACACACTCAGAAGTTTGGGCCTCCAAAGCCTCAGGCAGCCCCACCCCTATGTCTTTCCTGGGCTGGGTCCACATTTCAACTCTCTGAGGTTTGGGTCTCATGACCACAGCTCTCCCAGGCTGGTATTGCACATTGGTAGCTGTATAGTTTGGGGGTGTGGGTGGCAGTCTTCTAGGCTGTGAGTTTTCCAAATCTTTCCACTCTACTTCCCTTTCAAGTATAAGTTGTCTTTAAATCATCTCTTCCCTCTTATTTTCCTGTAAGTAGTTCAAACTAGCCATGCAATAGCCTATATGCTTTTGTTGCTTAGACATTTCTTCCATCAGATATTCTATTTCATCACTCTTAAATTCTGCCTTCCATAAAGCCTGACACAGACACAGCTCAGCCAAGTTCTTTGCTACTTTATAACAAGGATGGCCTTTGCTCCAGTTTCCAATACCATTTTATTCAGTTCCATCTGAGACCTCATCAGAATGGCCTTTACTGCCCATATTTATATCAACATTCTTTTTTTTTTTTTTTTGAGACGGAGTCTCACTCTGTCGCCCAGGTTGGAGTGCAGTGGCCGGATCTCAGCTCACTGCAAGCTCCGCCTCCCGGGTTCACGCCATTCTCCTGCCTCAGCCTCCCGAGTAGCTGGGACTACAGGCACCCGCCGCCTCGCCCAGCTAGTTTTTTGTATTTTTTAGTAGAGACGGGGTTTCACCGGGATAGCCAGGATGGTCTCGATCTCCTGACCTCGTGATCCGCCCGTCTCGGCCTCCCAAAGTGCTGGGATTACAGGCTTGAGCCACCGCGCCCGGCCTATATCAACATTCTTGTCATGATCACCTGAGTACAGCTGACCCTGGAACAACTCAGGGGTTACGGGCATCAACTTCCATGCTACGTATAACTTTTAAGTCCCCAAAAATGTAACTACTAATAGTCTACTGTTGACCAGAAGCCTTACTGAAATATAGTCGTTAACACATATTTTTTATGTTATACATGTTAGATACTATATTCTTATAATAAAGCTAGAGAAAATATTAAGAAAATCATGAGAAATTATATTTAGCAAATATAATCCACTATATTATATGGATCATCATAAAGGTCTTTATCCTTGTCATGTTAAGCAGGCTGAGAAGGGGAGGGGACGGGGACTGGTCTTGCCATCTCAGGGGTGGCAGAGGCAGAAGAAAGTCCATAAGTGGACCCACATAGTTGAAACCCAAGTTGTTCAAGGACCAACTGTAATCTCTAAGAAGTTTCAGACTTTCCCTAGTCTTCTCTTCTAAGCCTTGGCCAAAATCACCCTTAATGCTCCATTAGATAATACAGGCTTTGTCTGACCTGATCTTCCAAATTTTTCAAGCCTCCACCCATTACTCAGTTCCAAAGCCACTTCTACATTTTTATGTAAATGTCAGAGCAGCAAACCTACTTATGACTACCAGTATTCTGTCTTGTTACATTTTGTGTGACTCTAACTGAATACCATATACTGGGTAATTTATACAGAATAGAGGTTTATTTAGTTCACAGTTCTGAAGGCTGAGAAGTCCAATATAAAGGTGCAGGCATCTGGTGAGGGCTTACTTGCTGCATCATGACATGGTAGGAGGCATCAAAAGGCAAGGCAAGACAGAGCAAGCATGTGTCCCAGTTCACATTGCTCTTCCTCTCCTCATAAAGCCACCAGTCCCATCGTGGAGGCTCCACCCTGATGAACTTATCTAATTCTAATCAGTCTTAAAGGCCCCCACCCAGTACTGTTACAATGGGGATTAAGTTTCAACATGAATTTTGCTGGGGATATTCAAACCATAGCAATCTCTCTCCAGCTGTAAACCTGTGAAGTCAAAACAAGTCATCTACTTCCAAAATACAATGGTGAAATGGGCATAAGATAGACATTCCCATTCCAATGGGGGAAACAGGCAAGAAAAAAGGGGTAACTGGTCCCAAGTAAATCTAAAACCCAACCAAAAAACAAAACAAAACAAAAAAACATTGAAACTTAAAACTTAAACCATAGAAAAAATTTCTTGGTGTCACCAAAACAGTTCTTTATAAAATTAACTTAAAACTGCCACCAATAAAATTCAGATTTAATCATAGGGAAATCTGGAGTAGGTGTGAGAACATATCCAAGGGCCTGCATAGTAACTCATCAGGAATGGACTCACTTCTGAGGAACTACAGCAAGTCATGGTCAGGTTTCTCTTCTCTTTGCCTCTGGTGCTCACCAGTGTGATGCCAACAAGTTCAGTCCATGTATAGCTTTAGAGATTACTATACTCAGGCATCTACTCTAAAGGGTACAAGTCCAAGTCACTTTTCGTACCTACATATATGAGCGGGTACTGAAATTCAACAGATATGAAAAAGAATAGAGGCTGGAACTGGTGGCTCAGGCCTGTAATCCCAGCACTTTGGGAGGCTGAAGTGGGAGGATCACTTGAGTCCAGGAGTTTGAGACCAGCCTGGGCAACATGGCAAAACCCTGTCTCAACAAAAAATACAAAAATAAGCTGGGTGTGGTGGTGTATGCCCCCGGGGCTCAAGCAATCCTCCTACATCAGCCCTCTGAGAAGCTGGGAGGCTGCACTACCTCCTAGATTGCTTGAGCCCCAAAGGTCAACACTGCAGTGATCCATGATCACACCACTGCACTCCAGCCTGGGTGACAGAGCAAGACCCTGTCTAAAAAAAAAAAGGAAAATGTAAAAAGAAAATAGAGAAGGAGAAAAGCCATCTCCTCTTCCAATAAAGCTCAAAGACATAATTTTACATTATTGCTATCAATGCCAACTCATCACTTCATTTTCTTCCTGCGTAAACAGGACCCTCATAATTTTTTATGCTATCAAGGTAATAAAAAATTCCAAGTTTTAAATTCTTTCAGTGAGCCTTGCCACTGGTCCACCAAATAGCCCTCCTTAAATCCTGAAAGCAGGCTGGATGCAGTGGCTCATGCCTGTAATCCTAGCACTTTGGGAGACCGAGGTGGGTGAATCACCTGAAGTCAGGATTTTGAGACCAGCCTGGCCAACATGGTGAAACCCTGTCTCTACTAAAAATACAAAATTAGCTGGGCATGGTGGTGCATGCCTGTGGTCCCAGCTACTCAGGAGGCTGAGGCATGAGAATCACTTGAACCCTGGAGGCAGAGGTTGCAGTGAGCCAAGATCGCATCATTGCACTCCAGCCTGGGCGACAAGAGTGAAACTCTGGCTCAAAAAACAAACAAACAAACAAACAAACTCCTGAAAGCAATCATTGGAAACTTTATCTGATTATCTTCTCCCATAGGCTTTGCATTTCTCCTAGCCTCTAATTATAATGCCCCATGTCATCATAATCATAAAAACCCCAAAATGTTCTGCAAATTCTTCCAACTCCAGTAGCTCCAGAAGATGCAGACTGATAATACAGCCCAAATGTGAACATGATAAGGAATTAAGTGCTGCCATTTCCTACCTGGGGGATAAAATAAACTAATCAAACATGGTCCTTAAGTGTGAGAACTTAAAATGAAGTTAGGAAAACAGTAACAATTTATACAACACAAGACCAGAGGAATATCAATAGACACAATCAGGAGACCAGTGGAATCCCTAACTTGATGTGCAATTGATGTTGAGAACATAAGGGGGCTTACAGGGAGTGAGACAAAGGATTTGGGCTATGAGGGGATGACTTCCCAGAAGAAGCGAGATCCTGAAAGAAATGTACTATTTGGACAGGTGAAGGACTGGCCTTTTCAGATGAGGGAAGCAGCAGGAAGAAAGGCAAAGAGGGAGGAAGTACCACGGCATGTGAAGAAGATAAGGGAGGCCCTGGTGGGGCTGGGGTAGAGCAGGCATGTTGGGGAGGCAGAGGAGAGAGGACAGCGGAGGAGCAGTAGGGCTTAACTGCAGATAGCCCTGTTCCATTGATGAGTTTCTTTCTAGTATGCCACTTCTGATGCTGAATGAAACTTGCATTCCATCTGAAGGCTTTCCCACACTCCTTACACTCATAAGGTTTCTCCCCAGTGTGAACTCGCTGATGCTGAACCAGAGTGATCTTCTGACTGAATGTCTTCCCACATTCCTGGCATTCATAGGGTTTCTCCCCAGTGTGGATTCTCTGATGCACTATGAAGTGGGAGCTACAACTGAAAGTTTTCCAACATTCATTACATTTGTAGAGTTGTTCCCCAGTGTGGAACCTCTTGTGCTGAAGAAATACTGAACTGTGGTGGAAGGCCTTGCCACACTCTTTACATTCATAAGGTTTCTCCCCAGTGTGGATTCTCTGATGCTGAATCAGAATTGAATTAGAACTCAAACTCTTCTCACACTCCTTACATTCATAGGGCTTCTCCCCAGTGTGAATTCGTTCATGGATGATGCAGTCATAGCTACACCTGAAGACTTTCCCACATTCCTTACATTTAAAGGGCTTCTCCCCAGTATGGATTCTCTGATGCTCAATCAGTTTTGAATTATAGCTGAAGGTTTTCCCACAGTCAGTACATTCATAGGGCCTCTGTCCACCATGGAGCTTCTGATGCTGAAAAAGGTGGGAATTTTGACCAAAGGCTTGTCCACATTCCTCACATGAGTATGGTTTCTCTCCAGTGTGGATTTTCTGATGCCATGACAGTTTTGAGTTGTATCTGAAGGTTTTCCCACATTCTTTGCATGTGTAGGGCCTCTCATTAGTGTGAATTCTCTGATGCTGGTGAAAGTCTGAATGTGGGTTGTAGTAACTGCCACACTCACCACATTTATAAAACACCTGTTCTTTGGCAAAGTCTTGCTTTGTAATGAGATGTGTGCTGACACTACTTTCTTCCAATTTCCTGGCTATCTCCTCCCTTTCAATGGTGGAAGATTTATAATCCTGGACTGTCAAATCTGTGCAATCCCCTATATTTGTTTTCTTCCCTGTATCATGTTGTGACTTCTCTAACCTGTCCTTGAAGTCAGGGTGCTGGGGAATGTTCATCAGCAGTCCCTCCACTATCAGTCTGTGGGACTCTGATTCTTTAGAAATGTTTAGCTGTGCAGTTTGTTCCTCATTCTTAGTCTTGGTTTTACCACCTAGCATGATAAAAAGAAAACACAGGAGTCCCTTATTTATGCCAGAAGGGAAAGGGATTAATCAGTATCAGCCTGCTCTAGACACATGAATTTTTTTTTTTTTTTTTTTTGAGATAGAGTTTCACTCTTGTTGCCCAGGCTGGAATGCAATGGCATGATCTTGGCTCACCACAACCTCTGCCTCCCAGTTTCAAGCGATTGTCCTACCTCAGCCTCCCAAGTAGCTGGGATTACAGGCATGTGCTACCATGCCCATCTAATTTTTTGTATTTTTCGTAGAGATAGAATTTCTCCATGTTGGTCAGGCTGGTCTTGAATTCCTGACCTCAGGTGATCCACCCACCTCAGCCTCCCAAAGTGCTGGGATTACAGGTGTGAGCCACCACGCCCACTAGACACATGAATTTTCTGAGAGAGACATAGCCACCTGATGGTACCTCAAAGGGAAAGTAAACAAACTGAAGGTTAAGAAGGTAAGCAATCCCATATGGATGACAAAAAACAAAAACTGTGGATAGCAGAAGCTATTGATTGAGGCAAATGGTTAAAGAAAAATGGGAATGGGGTGAAGTTGCAGGAAGGGGAAGCAATAAAGAAAAGTAGAGGAAGCCGGCCGGGCGCGGTGGCTCAAGCCTGTAATCCCAGCACTTTGGGAGGCCGAGACGGGCGGATCACGAGGTCAGGAGATCGAGACCATCCTGGCTAACACGGTGAAACCCCGTCTCTACTAAAAAATACAAAAAACTAGCCGGGCGAGGTGGCGGGCGCCTATAGTCCCAGCTACTCTGGAGGCTGAGGCAGGAGAATGGCGTAAACCCGGGAGGCGGAGCTTGCAGTGAGCCGAGATCGCGCCACTGCACTCCAGCCTGGGTGACAGAGCCAGACTCCGTCTCAAAAAAAAAAAAAAAAAAAAAGAAAAGTAGAGGAAGCCAAAAGTGAGAAAAGCAATCTCTAAACCAGAGAAGAGAAAGATGGGTAGGCAGCTGTAGTACCACATAGTATGCAGAGGGCTGGGAGGTACTGTCTACAACAGTGGATCTCAAAGTCCAATAAAACCTGTCAAAATGCTTTAAAATATTCTGTAATTTTTAAAGAAATGTTCTCTAGTTCTCTATCACAAGCATGGCTGGACAGAAAGCAGTTTGTAACACTGCTGTTTACAAAGGGGTCATGAGAAGACCACAATTTTAAAACCCAAGTGCTGTCCTTTGGGAGACTGACCTTTGAAAGGAAAAAAGACAGGTTCAGCCAAGAACCTGCCCATAATGGAGATGGCAATTGGATTGGAGGCATGGGGATCATGCTTTCACTGGTAGCACCACAACATAGAAATCTTTTTTGCCTTGTCAAGCACCAAAGATCTGACAAATGAAACTTTCATCTTAGTGTTTTTCAAGCCTTGTTGACCATGACTCACATTTTGGATCCTAAAACAATACAGACATGCTTGCACACACACACAAACACACACACACACACACACAGCTGAAACCGAAACAAAACAACGTCCTTATTAAGAGTGATGTATTCACGCCGGGCACAGTGGCTCACGCCTGTAATCCCAGCACTTTGGGAGGCCGAGGCAGGTGGATCACCTGAGGTCAGGAGTTCGAGATCAGCCCGGCCAACATGGTAAAACCCTGTCTCTACTAAAAATACAAAAAAGTAGCTGGGTGTGGTGGCGGGCACCTGTAATTCCAGCTACTCATGAGACTGAAGCATGAGAATCGCTTGAACCCGGGAGGCAGAGATTGCAGTGAGCCAACATCGTGCCACTGCACTCCAGCCTGGGGGAGAGAATGAGACTGTCTCTCCAAAAAAAAAAAAAAAGATGCATTCACAATAGACTTTATACTACTTTAGTCTTTATTTACACCTAATACAGGGTAGTCTAAGTTTTAAAAGCTGGTAACAACTCATTGATGAGTTGCAACCCAGAGTTAAAGAATACGGTTCTAGATTTTCAAGAACAGTGGTCTCAAATGGTGGTCCCTGGACCACTATCATCTGGGAACTTGTTAGATATGCACATTAATGGGGCTGGGTTTAGTGGTGTGTGCCAGTAGTCCCACCTAATTAGGAGGCAGAGGTGAAAGAATTACTTGAGCCCAGGAATTTGAGACCAGCCTAGGCAAAATAACAAGACCCTATCTTGAAAAAAAAGAAAAAGAAATGCAAATTCTCAGCCCTACACCAGTCTACTGAATTCGAATCTCTGGAGGTGGCATCTGGCAATCTGTGTTTTAACAAGCCCTGCAAGTAATTCTGATACATACCAGAATTTGAAATTTACTAATCTATAAACTACAAAAGACAGATTGAGGCTGCTCTTTTCATTGTTTAAGCCTGCACTTTCCCAAAAGGTGGCCACTAGCCACATGTGGCTATTTAAGTGTAAATTAATTAAAATGGAATAAAATTAAAAACTCAGTTCCTCAGTTGCACTAGGCACACTTCGGGTGCTCATGTGGTTCATCTGGCAGGCTAAATAGACAATGCGCACCTGTGGCAAGGGGCAACGCTAACAACTGCAGGCAGGATACTGGGAAAGCCGCTAGAGGATCTGAAACGCTGAAGTCAATTTAAGGCATTGATTAAGGCAAAGTGGGGGGATTAGAAAGGAGCATTTGCCTTACAGAGGCTCTGAAGAGCATAAAAGATTGAAAGAATATGATAACAGAGCCCATAGAATGAGGAAGGCTATATACCAAATCTCTGATTGGTCTTTACATTTATCTCAATTCAGTATCTTTCAAAAAAGAAAACCATTCATTCCCAATACATAAATAAGCTTTCTTTCAAAAGCTAATATAAAATTCTGTGTTTAGGAATTTAGAAAAATTCCATTTACATATATAGTTTTATACACACACACAAAATGTTCTTATAAAAACAAGTTCTAGCCAGGTGTGGTGGCTCACACCTGTAATCCCAGCACTTGGGGAGGCTGAGGTGGGAGAAGCACTGAGGTCAGGAGTTCAAGACCAACCTGGGCAACATGGTGAAACCCTGTCTCTATTAAAATTAGAAAAATTACCCGGGCGTGGTGGCAGGTGCCTGTAATCCCAGCTACTTGGGAGGCTGAGGCAGGAGAATTGCTTGAACCTTCAAGGCAGAGGTTGCAGTGAGCCAAAATTGTGCACTGCACTTCAGCTTTCAGAGCAACTCTGTCTCAAAAAATAAATAAATAGGCCAAGTGCGGTGGCTCACGCCTGTAATCCCAGCACTTTGGGAGGCCAAGGCAGGCGGATCACCTGAGGTCAGTAGTTCGAGACCAGCCTGACCAACATGGAGAAACCACGTCTTTACTAAAAACACAAAATTAGCTGGGTGTGGTGACGCATGCCTATAATCCCAGCTACTTGGAAGGCTGAGGCAGGAGAATTGCTTGAACCTGGGAGGCGGAGGTTGTGGTGAGTGAAGATCACGCCATTGTACTCCAGCCTGGGCAACAAGAGTGAAACTCTATCTCAAAAAATAAACAAACAAATAAATAAATTTTTTAAAAACCAAGTTCTTGGCCAGGCGTGGTGCCTCACACTGTAATCCCAGCACTTTGGGAGGCCGGGGCAGGGGTGGCGGGCGTGGATCCTGAGGTCAGGAGTTCAACACCAACCTGGCCTACACAGTGAAACCCCATCTCTTCTAAAAAATTAGCCAGGCATGGTGGCGCACGCATGTAGTCCCATCTACTCAGGAGGCTGAGGCAGGAGAAACACTTGAACCCAGGAGGCGAAAGTTGTGGTGAGCCATGATCGTGCCACTGCACTCCAGCCTGGGCAACAGAGCAAGACTCTATCTCAAAAAAAAAACAAAAAAACAAAAAAACAAAAAACAAAAACCAAGTTCTTACTATATTGTGTTTATATTCCTGAGCTGACCAACCAACAGAAGCCTGTTTGAAATCTTTTTTTTTTTTTTTTTTAAGAGATAGGGTCTCACTCTGTCACCCAGGCTGGAGTGGAATGGTGTGATCCTAGCTCACTGCAACCTCAAACTCCTGGCTCAAGGGATCCTCCAGCCCCAGCCTCCTGAGTAGCTGGCACTACAGGCACATGCCACCATGCCCAGCTAATTTATTTATTTATTGTAGTGACAGGGTATTGCTATGTTGCTCAGGCTGATCTTGAACTCTTGGCCTCAAGCATCCTCCCACCTTGGCCTCCCAAAGTGCTGGGATATAGGTGTAAGCCACCACACCCAGCCTGAAATCCTTTAGCTTTACAAAGAAAAATGGCAGAAATAAAATGGTGGGAGTGGTCTTTTCCAGTTTGGAGATGAAGTTCTGGTAAGCAACACTTCTTTGAATAAGAGTGACTATTTTAATGCCCACAACCATCATATGACAAGGAAAAACTCTTTTTCATGCTAAATTGTTAAAAGAAAGGAGGAGGCAAAGCTGGAAAGGAGGATGGTAGGCTTTCCTGCTCACCTGTGCACATGCCTCTCAGGGCCTCTCCCCCAGCAAGTGTCCAGGGATCTGGGCCCCATGCTGCTTCTCCTTGCTCCAGCTGGAATATCAGATCTGGTTTGGAGAATGGAAATGCTGCTAGAGGAGAAAGAAAAACAGGAAGCTGAGGAGAATCACCACTGACCTCCCTCTGACTACTCTCTGCTTTGCCAGGTGAAAATAGAAGAGAATGGCCCAGGAGACTAAGTGAAGTCAGGGAGGAGTGAATCTGCAGAATCTAATGAAGGGCTTGAAGCTTACTCTGGCCTCTAAGAGGACAGAAAGCTCCTACAGTCACTGGGGGGTGTATACACAAGGACCCTAGGGGACTCACACATAGGCAATAGGGCCAAGATCACCTCCAGGGAACTGGAAGATGGAAGGAATGAAGGCAGTGCACCAGGAACCTTCTCAGTTCTCTCTGTGCTCAGAGGAAAGCCCCCTGCAGTTGGGTCTCCATTAGGAATCAGGGAAGAGAAAAGTCCTGTTAAACATCAAAGTGGGCCGGGCGCGGTGGCTCACGCCTGTAATCCCAGCACTTTGGGAGGCCGAGATGGGCGGATCACGAGGTCAGGAGATCGAGACCATCCTGGCTAACACGGTGAAACCCCGTCTCTACTAAAAATACAAAAATTAGCCGGGCGTGGTTTGCACTCCAGCCTGGGCGACAGAGCGAGACTCCGTCTCAAAAAAAAAACAAAAAAAACAAAAAAAAAACATCAAAGTGAACCCAGCTCTTTCTCCATCCAGCTACTCCTGGCACTGGGGATTAGGGAGCTCAGCCCATAGGGCATCAATTCTGATGGTATTAAGACATCCTAGATCTGCTAAGGAGGAATTTAAGAGCCCCCAAGGGCAGAAGCTGAGTTTCAGAGAGGAAGGACTTACACAAGGAAGTCACATTTGCATAATTCTCCAGCATCACCTCCCTGTACAGGGCCCGCTGCATAGGGTGCAGGCTGGCCCATTCATTCTGGGTGAAGTACACAGCCACATCCTCAAAGGTCACTGGCTCCTGAAACAACAGGTTCCTGCTCAAACCCTGCACAAGAACAGAGGGAGAGGCCTGAATTCTAGGAAAGGGATACATTTACTGGAATTCATGGCACTGAGCCCCATGGAAGGTTTGTACTGGCAAGGAGAGCCACACAGGACCCCAGCAGGGGCAGCCCCAGACCAGCATTCCAACTTTCCATGTGCATACCTCTGGGGCCCTAATATTACCATCCTAAGCACAGAGCCCAGCACCTGCTGTTTTCTGCCTGGTGATCATGTCAACCTATGTCTGGTTCCACAGGCCAGGTATATTTTTCTGGCATGCTTTCTAAATCGACCACAGCATGTAATCGTCTTTCACAGTGCCTCCATCCATCCTGAAGCACCTATCAGGGTCCTCCACTCAGCTTCTTTTTGGTCTTCCTCCTCTAGATTTTCTGCTACAGACAGAGGAGTGATTTCATGGGGATAAAGTTCCTTTCATCCTGGATATTTCTCCCCTTTCTATCATCTTGCCTTATCAGAAGCTATTAATAGTTCTCCCTTGAAAGTGATGTGCAATGTTACTTCTTTGTCTCCTAACATTCTTCACTCCAGGACAGGATGGCAATCTCCCATCCTTCTGCAGAGATCTGCCCACTGATCACCTAAGCTCTGTCTGACCTGCCAATGCTGTCCGCTTCACTATGTGTCTCTCTATTTCTGCTTCCCACTAAAACCACTTCCAGCTTCTCAGGGAAGAAGGAAACCATCACAGGTTGTTTAGAGCTTTGTGTCAGCTACTTTTAAATCAATTTGCTCAATCATTATAGCACATCTGTGAAATAAGAATTATTATGTCCATTTTCAGATGATGGGAATCAGCAATATTAAACACTTTGAAATAGACTAAAAGGAGTCCTCTTTGAGTATTTATAACAAGGTTGTATAAGGAAGCAAAAAGTTCAAAATGAACTGACCACTTTTATATGAATTAGTCCCACTATAACATCTCTCTCTGACTCACACTGTAGTCTTTCTCAGTTCGTCATGTCAACAACCTTCTCTTTGTACTTAAGTCTCTTCTGAGTGAAGAAATATAACATATAAGTACTAGAAGATTTGAACTGGTCGCGTGGCTCACGCTTGTAATTCCAGCACTTTGGGAGGCCGAGGCGGGCATATTGTAAGGTCAGGAGATCGAGACCCTCCTGGCTAACACAGTGAAACCCCGTCTCTACTAAAAATACACAAAAAATTAGCCGGGCGTGGTGGCGGGTGCCTGTAGTCCCAACTACTCGGGAGGCTGAGGCAGGAGAAAGCCCTGAACTCAGGGGGCAGAGCTTGCAGTGAGCCAAGATCGCACCACTCACTCCAGCCTGGGCGACAGACAGAGCAAGACTCCGTCTCAACAAAAAAAAAAAAAAAAAAAAGAAGAAGTACTAGAAGATTTGTATTCATCATTGTAAAGATTGGTTTGGTCAAGAATCATCATGGATGCTATATCTAGGAGGAAATTTTGATGAGAAGCAGAATATTTGCACGACCTTAAATGTCTCCTCATAGATTGCTTATTAGTTACAAGATGAAAACAGTAACTATACAGTAATCAGATTACCCCTTAGCGAGAAAGTTCAAATGTGGCTGGCATGACTGAGGAAATTTAATTGATTTTAATTTAAATAGGCACATGTAGCTAGGGGGTACCTTCCTGGACAGTGCAGAATAAATACATCTGTTAATACTCTTGTCTTCCTTCCTTCAGAGTCAACAGCTGGGAATATGGATCTCCCTTTTTCTTCACATTATGTTCTACCTCTCCATACCTCTGAAACATCACTCTAATTATCAGCACATTCTTTGGTTCCTTGTTTTTGGAAACACTTAGCTTCTCCAGATCTTCTCTATCTGTGATCATTCTTCTTCTGTCCTTTACTTGCACTTACTCTTTCTCCATTAAGTGGGGCTATTGACTCCCTTCTATAGGAAGTGGGTTACAGGGGCAGCACAACATAGTGGCAAATGGCACAGATGTTAAAGCTGTGGCTCTTAACATGGGGGCAATTTTGTCCCCCAGGGAGTATGTGGCAATGCCTGGAGACATTTTTAGCTGTCAAAACTGCAGTGTGGTGGTAATGGTAGTGCTACTGGCATCTAGTAGATAGTGGGCCAGGGCTATTTCTGAACATCCTATAATGAACAGGACATCCTCCAAACAAAGAATTATCTGGCCCAAATGTAAATGATGCCAAGGTTGAAAAACCTTGCTCTAAGCTGGACTCCCTAGGTTCAAATAGTATCTCTAATACTCATTAGCTGTTAACCTTGGATGAGACAGTTAAACTTTCTGTGCCTCAGTTGCCCCCATTTGTAAAACCGGGATAATAATAGTAATTATCTGATATGACTCTTACAAGGATGGCATAAGTTATTATCTGTAAGGCACTAAGATATCACCTGGCACATGATATCATATAAATCTCAGCACTTACTACAACCACAGATGTGATTGGGGGAACTTCCTAGAGATTCTAAATGACAAATGTTCCTCTTAGAGATTGTAGCAAAGACTGACAGGTGTGTGTGTGTAGCCCCTTTCTTTCTTAGTATTGGAATCCTAATTTTACTTGAGGTTGCACTCAGCAATGGCAACCCAGTGGGGCCAATGAAATGCAAGTATAAATATTGTTGGGGACTTATGGGAAGGTTCCTAAAAGAGAGAGGTTCACCTTTTTTTTTTTTTTTTTTTTTTTTTGGCAGCTCCTCTTCTAGCTGGAATGCACACATGATGGCCAGCGATCAAGCAGCCACCTTGGACAAGAAAGTGGCCTACAGCAGGTGAGACACTACTAGGATGGTAGAACAGAAAGACAGAGTCTGAGAGCAGGATAATAGAGGAGCTGCCACACTAGCCCTGGATTGACTCTCGACACTTTTGTATGAGAGGGAAGCCTTTACCTTGTTTAATCCACTGTCATTTGGGGTCCTCTTTGTGGAATCTAATCCTAAGTGATTACTGCACTTCAGGCAAAGCACCAGGAGAGCACAGCATACCCCCACAGAACACTTCCTGACTTGTAGGAATGGATTTTCTCTGAAGTGCTCCAACAGAAGTGGATGGTCCAATATCCACCAAAAGAAGGACACACACATTGTTTTTAAGTCCTTGGGATGGAGCTTTCTTGTTACAAGATACATCCATTACATGATAAACTCAGTTTTCTCATTACATGATCTAGGACACTGGGGAAAAATCCAGTAAAACTATCATCTACCACCAAGAAAATTGGAGGGAAAAGTGCTCCCAATGCTACATGAATTTGGAGGCAGGAAAGGATATAGACTCTCACAGAGGTTAGCCTGATGTCTTTGCATTGAGCTAAAGGCACTGGCTTCAGCTCCAAACTCATCATTCCTCCAAAAATACACTTCCCTCATCAATCTATATTTCCCAAATGCTTCCAGTTCTGGCTTCACTGTACCTTAACTGAGTAGTCTGAAGGGTAAACTACTCCCTTGGAAGTGTCTATTTAACCTCAGAAATGGCTTTTCTTTGTGTACTGTTACGCAGACTAGCACTCCTCAAATTTCAATCTGCCCTTTAATTTTCCAGATCTTGTAAAAATGTAGACTCTGATTCAGGAGATCTGGGGAGGAGGCCTGACATTTTACCTAACAAGCGACCTCTGTGATGCAAAAGCTGCTCATCTCCAGGCCACACTTTCAGTTCTCATGAATGCAGATTCCCATTTTCTAGGATAATTCTTTCCTTTTTTTCCAACCCACCTAACCCTCCAAAGTTCACCTACTCTAGTTCTTCAACTCCCCTGGCATACTGTTTTTACATAGTCTATTGAAGGATGTAAAACTAAGCATGGGACTGGTCAAGTCAGGCTACTGGGCCTGTACTGACCTTCCATATCTGTTCTGAGTACGGAAAGCTGAAAGAAAGCTCTGCTCACCTGGAACCACACTGTCTGGAGCATGGCTGATGACTCCTGGCTTCATGCACTGCCCTCTAGGTTTGGAAAAGTAAGAACCTGCTGAGCTAAGAGAGAACCACAATGAGACTGATCCTGTCTGTCTCCTACACTTGCCGCCTCTTCCCCTCCGTCTCCTGCCACTAGCACTGCAGATATTCTTGGCACACTAGCTGTTCTCATTCACCCTCTCCACTGATTCATGGGATGCTGCAAATGCTCCCTCTGCATATTCTCCTATAGATCTGCTCGGTGACACTGGAGACTCTAGAAAGAATATCTGTAAAGCAAGAATCAAGAACTGCAGTGGATGCGTGGCTGTTTAAAAAAAAAGAAAGAAAACTTCTTGGCCCCACTATGAATACATTACTAAGTAGTTTGTATTGACTGAATGCTTCTAGTGATCGTGGCAAAAACCCAAAACAAGTCTCTGGAGAGAAAGTAGGATATAACGGAGACCCCTAAACAAACCACAGGCTGCAGGACAAAATGCAAGTGGTGACCTAGCCCCGGGTGACAAGGGTAAGACGCTCAATGTCCAGCGGGTGATGCTGACCGAAGACCTAACCGGGATCTGAACACTCCACCCCGGGAACAGGAGACCCTATAGTCACGGCTCCCATCCTTCCCATGAATACCGCGACCCGAGGACATCAGGCCAGCTCTTCGGAGCAGGAAGGTCGAGTGCGTCTCTGAGGACTGGGGACTGGGCCCAGGCTCGGGCGGCCGCGCGGGCCCCTCGGCGATCTCTGCAAGGGCCCAACGCCCGACCTCCAGAACAGGCAGCCGAGTCGGGCAAGCCCAGGAAACTCAACCCAAGCGCTCGCAAGGCGGCCAAAACGGAAGCACTAGCTAGCCGGCCGTCGGTCCCTACAGCCTCTCTAGGAAGCCGGGAGGCTGGCCCTTCTCTATGGTTCCCCCGAAACCAAACTCCCACCTTTTGCTTCCCTTCTCCACAACCGCTCTGCGCCTGGTTGGTTGGTTTTTTAATTTTAATTTTTTTTTTTTTTTGCTTTTGTTTTTGAAACAGGGTTCTTGCTGTGTTGTGCAGGCTGTTCTCGAACTCCTGAGCTCAAGCTGTCCGCCCGCCTCGGCCTCCCAAAGTTCTGGGAATGCAGGCGTGAGCCACCGCGCCCGGCCGCGCCTGGTTTATTATTATTTTCTCTTATGTCTTAGTACCCCAACTACATGATAAATTCCTCCATATTTAACAATTAATTCGTAACTTAATTCCTAACTCCTTACCTAATTTACTTAATTCCTAACTTAACATTCTAATGAATGTATAGCCCCTGTCTCCCACTTAATGACTGTGACCTAAGACCATGGGGTATGGGGTCTCATTGTCTGCGTTCCTGGCTCCACTCTGTATGGACTTGCTCAAGTTATACTTAAATTGTTGCCTCAATTTATCAATTGAGAATGGTAAAAGTTTGTAATTTATAAATTCAGTGGATTAACTGAGTCAATTCATGCGACAGTTCTGTAAACCAAAGATAAAATTCTAAGTCCCCCAACCAACTGAATGGACCACTCCTCTCCGCCAAAACTTTCCAAAGAAAACCTGGCCATCTAGTTCAGGCCATGATGGGAAGCAGGGGATCAGACTTGCCTCATTCTGCTCTTGGAATTCAGGCACTACGAACCAGCATGAACATAAAAACAGAGATCTGGAGACTGATTCCAACTCCCCCCCGCCCACCCCCCCCGACACGCAGTCTTGCTCTGTCGCCCAGGCTGGAGTACAGTGGTGCGATCTTGGCTCACTGGAACCTCCGCCTCCCGGGTTCAAGCAGTTCTCCTGCCACAACCCCTGAGTAGCTGGGATTACAGACGCCCGCCAACACGCCCGGCTAATGTTTATATTCTTAGTAGAGAGGGGGTTACACCATGTTGGCCAGGCTGGTCTTGAACTCGACCTCGTGATCCGCCCGCCTCAGCCTCCCAAAGTGCTGGGATTACAGGCGTGAGCCACCGCGCCCAGCCCAAAACAAATTCTTTATAGCAATAAGACACCAAATTCTAACCTGACTAGTATAGTCTCACGTGACAGATAACAGGTCCTGAAATAAACTGAAGTATTTTACCCTAAAATGTATTTATTTGACATATTTTGAAATGGCCCTGTAAAGCAGTCTCTTGTGGTGAAAATCCACATCCTTTTGTAAAGAATCCCCTTCACTTTCGAGGTCTTTTCCTTGATCCAGGAGATAATTAACTAAGAGAGTTTGGCACCTTTTGAAGTCTGATAAGAAACATTTACAATCGTTTCTCTCTGAAGCCTGCTACCCCGAGGTTTCATCTGCATAATAAGAACATTGGTCTCCAAAACCTCTTATCTTAACCCAGAACATTGGTCTCCAAAACCTCTTATCTTAAACCAGACATTCCCTTCAATTGATTCCAGGTCTTTAGGTAATAACTCTTTCAACTAATTGCCAGTTAGAAATCTTCAAAAAAAAACAAAAAACAAAAAAAAAGAAAAGAAGAGGAAAAGGAAAGGAAAGAAAAGGAAAGAAAAAAGAAATCTTTGAATCCACCCTATGGAAGGTACCCCCACACTCCCCACTTCGAGTTGTCCCTCCTTTCCGGATGGAGCTAATGTACATCTTACATTTATTGATTGATATCTTTTATCTTCCTAAAACATATAAAACCAAGCTGTAGCCCGACAACCTTGAGCACAAGATCTCAGGACCCGCTGGGGCTGTGTCGTGGGTCACTGGTCCTCACATTAACTCAGAATAAATCTCTTTAACTATTTTACAGAGTTTGACTCTTTTTATGGACAGAGTGCAGTTCTGTACCAAACTAAGTCAAAATAAGTGCTGTATTATTGCTGACATTATTCTTCTTCTTGTGTATCTCACCACTCTCCTGTAAGACACTCCCATATCTCTTTCTGCAGTCCAGATGTAATAATACTCATGGCAATAGTGCTTCCTATTGGCCAGGCAGTGTGCATTTGAAACTGCCTGTTGATTTCTAATTATTCCACAAGAGCCTAAAATCCAAAATGTTCCAAACTAATCTCATCATCCCTCATCCCCCAGTTCCTCCTCCAGGGTTCCCCCACCTCAGTGAATGCACCAGTTTGCAGCCAACCAAGAAACTCATCACACTACTGAACTCCAGCCTGGGCAACAGAGTGACACCATGTCTATAGTAGGTATATATACAGTTTCATATTATTTAGGAAAGCATAACTTAGGGCCAAAATGTTCTATAAAGGTGTGAAAATTTCACCTATTAAAGTCATTCTGGACCCAACACTATTTTATGAGTATATTTGACAACTTTTCTGTCTTTTGTGTGGTTATTAGTCCATTCAGGTTTTTAATGCCTTTAACCAATTATGGTACTTTATTCTTCCATAGAAAATAATTTGTCATAGGCTGTCAAATTTACTGATACAAAATCATCTTACTTTTTTTATGTCCACATCTGAAGGGATTTGTCTCTTTTCTTGTATCAATTACTGTTTACCTATACTTTTTTTAATTGAATTTTTCACAGAACCAACTTTTAGTTTTATTGTCTTCTTTTTCTCATATTTCACTGCTCTTTTTCTGTATCATTGTTTGATTTTTTTTTTTTTTTTTTGAGACGAGTCTCGCTCTGTCGCCCAGGCTGGAGTGCAGTGGCCGGATCTCAGCTCACTGCAAACTCCGCCTCCCGGGTTTACACCATTCTCCTGCCTCAGCCTCCTGAGTAGCTGGGACTACAGGTGCCCGCCACCGCGCCCGGCTACTTTTTTGTATTTTTTAGTAGAGACGGGGTTTCACCGTGTTAGCCAGGATGGTCTCGATCTCCTGACCTCGTGATCCACCTGTCTCGGCCTCCAAAGTGCTGGGATTACAGGCTTGAGCCACCGCGCCCGGCCCATTGTTTGATTTTTAATATCATTTTTCTTTATTTTTCATGAACACTTCTAATACCCATATCATTGTGTTTCATTTTATCATTATTGATTTATTTCTTAAAATTTGGGAGACGTATATTCTTTTTCTAGCTTTTTTTGAATAGCATGCCTAATTTTTTATAGCTTTTTTGTTCTCTCATACTTGTATTTATGTCTATAAGCTTTCTTCTGAGTCTGTTTTAATCATATCTCACGTTTGATTATTCTTATTTTTCTCTAATTTTTTTTTTTTTTTTTGAGACATAATATCCCTCTGTCACCCAGGCTGGAGTAGAGTGGTGCGATCTTGGCTCACTGCAACCTCCCCCTCCCAGGGAAGGCATGAGCCATCATGCCCAACCAGAATGGATATTATCAAAAAGACAACAGATGGCTGGGTGCGGTGGTTCAAGCCTGTAATCCCAGCACTTTGGGAGGCCGAGGCAGGTGGATTGCTTGAGCTCAGGAGTTGAGACCAGCCTGGCCAACATGGCAAAAACCCATCTCTACTAAAATACAAAAATCAGACAACGGGTGTGGTGGTGGGCACCCATAATCCCAGCTACTCGGGAGGCTGAGGCAGGAGAATCACTTGAACCAGGGAGGTGGAGGTTGGAGTGAGCTGAGATCATGCCACCGCATTCCAGTCTGGGCAACAGAGCGAGACTTCGTCTCAAAAAAAAAAGACAACAGATAACATGTAGGTTGTGGAGAAAATGGAACCCTTGTACACTGTTGATGGGAATGTAAGTTTGTCCAACCATCATGGAAAACAGTATGGAAGTTTCTTTAAAAAAATTAAAAATAAAAATACCATATGATTCAGCTGATTCAGCAATCCTGTTACATGGATATATTTCCAAAGAAAATAAAATCAGTATGTCAAAGAGATATCTGTACTTCTGTGTTCATTGCAGCATTATTCAGAACTGCTGAGACATGGAACAACCTATGTGTCCATCAATGGATGAATGGTAAAGAAAATGTGTATACACACACACACACACACACACACACACAATGAATTCCTCCTTTAAAAGAAAAAAATCCTGTCATTGTGACAACATGGATGAACCTGGAGGATATTAAGCTTAGTCAATAAGGCATAGAAAGACAAATACTGTATGATCTCACTTATATGTAGAACCTAAAATAGTTGGCCGGGCGCAGTGGCTCACACCTGTAATCTCAGCACTTTGGGAGGCCAAGGCAGGCAGATCACTAGGTCAAGAGATCGAGACCATCCTGGCCAACGTGGTGAAAACCCGTCTCTACTAAAAATAACAAATAAAAAAAATAATTAGCTGGGCGCAGCGGTGCATGCCTGTAATCCCAGCTAGTCGGGAGGCTGAGGCAGGAGAATCACTTGAACCCAGGAGGCAGAGGTTGTAGTGAGCCAAGGTTGCGCCACTGCACTCCAGCTTGGGCAACAAAGCGAGACTCTCTCTCTCAAAAAAGTTAACTTTATAGAAACAGAGTGAAATGGTGGTTGCCAGCAGCTGAGATGGGTAAATGGGGACATTCTGGTCAAAGGGTACAGAGTTTCAGTTGGACAGGATGAAGAAATCAGAAAAAAATGCAAAAATAAAAATAAATAAAAAATATGTAGCAGACACAGGAAACAATTATCATTATTTGTAGATCACAGAATTATTGTTATAGAAAAGACCACAGACTCAGAATTTAACGATAAGACTTCATCATTATAAAATGTCCACTGGAGGAAAGGATGAATTTTCACTAACCAGGGGCTGGGTAAATTACACTTCTATTCCTTGGCACATCACAGTTACAGGATTTGTTTTATAAAAATATAAAAACAGGGAGTCATTTTCTAAGAATTGCCTTGGGGCCTTGTGACATGAAGGAATGGGAGATAAGACAGTGTGGTACTCATCCGGGAGGGCAGTGTTCCAAACAGTTATTTGAAAGGAGTGGCAATAATACAGATTTGAAAAGAGTTGCATGCTTATCCATTAAAATGTCTAAGAATATATCATTTTATTGAGATTTTCTATACCTACTGACATGTAATACGATTTTTTAATGGATAAGTTGTTTTCATCATCATCCTCATAGAAAATCCAAGACATCCAGCCGGGCATGGTAGCTCACACCTGTAATCCTAGCACCTTGGGAGGCCAAGGCAGGTCTGTATGCATTCAGAAGTTCGAAATCAGCCTGGGCAACATAGTGAGACTCTGTCTCTACAAAACATAAAACTCATGCCTGTAATCCTAGCACTTTGGGAGGCCAAGGCAGGTGGATTACCTGAGGTCAGGAGTTCGAGAACAACCTGGCCAACATGGTGAAACCCTATCTCTACTAAAGATGCAAAAAAATTAGCAGGCATGGTGGTGGCGGCGGGGGTGGCGCCTGTACTCCCAGCTACTCGGGAGGCTGAGGCAGAAGAATCGCTTGAACCTGGGAGGTGGAGGTTGCAATGAGCCAAGATCGCACCATTGCACTCCAGCCTGGGCAACAAAAGCAAAACTCCATCTCAAAAATAAATTAATAAATACATAAAATAAAAATAAAAATAAATTAGCCGGGCATAGTGGCACATATCTGTAGTCCCAGCTACTTGGGAGGCTGAGGCAGGAGGATCACTTGAGCCTGGGAGGTCAAGGATGCAGTGAGCCATGATCATACCACTGCACTCAGCCTGGGTGACAGAGCAAGACACTGTCTGCTCTGTGGGGGGGGGAAGAAAAGGAAAAAAAGAAAATAAAAAAAAAATCAACTAAAAATTATATTAGAACAAAAAGAGAGTTCAGCAATGTGGACACACACAAGATGTTAAATACAAAAATCCTCAGCCCCTTTACATCCATCAACGTCCAGTTAGAAAAGATACTAGGATCCAGGCACGGTGGCTTATGACTTTAATCCCAGACTTTGGGAGGCTCAGGTGGGTGGATCACTTGAGGTCGGGAGTTCAAGGCCAACCTGGTCAACACAGTGAAACCCAATCTCTACTAAAAATACAAAAATTAGCTGGGCATGGTGGTGGGCACCTGTAATCCCAGCTACTCGGGAGACTGAGGGACGAGAATTGCTTGAACCTGGGAGGTGGAGGTTGCAGTGAGCCAAGATCTCGCCACTGCACTCCAGCCTGGGCAATGGAGTGAGACTTGGTCTCAAAAAAATAAAAATAAAAAATAAAAATAAAATACTAGGAACTGATACTAGTTCAAAATCACTAGGAATATGGCCTGCATGGAGGCTCATACCTGTAATTTCAGCATTTTGGGAGGTTCAGGCAGGTGCATCATGTGAGGTCAGGAGTTCAAGACCAGCCTGGCCAACATAGTGAAACCCCATCTCTACTAAAAATGCAAAAATTAGCCAGTGTGGTGGTGCACGCCTGTAATCCCAGCTACTTGGGAGGCTGGGGTGGGAGAATCACTTGAACCCAGGAGGCAGATGTTGCAATGGGCCGAGATCATACCACTACACTCCAGCCTGGGGAACAGGGTGAGACTCATCTCAAAAACAAAGGCCAGACGTGGTGGCTCACACCTGTAATCCCAGCACTTTGGGAGGCCGAGGTGGGCGGATTACTAGGTCAGGAGATCAAGACCATCCTGGCTAATATGGTGAAACCCCATCTCTACTAAAAATACACACACACACACACACAAATTAGCCAGGCGTGGTGGAGGGTGCCTGTAGTCCCAGCTACTCAGGAGGCTGAGGCAGGAGAATGGTGTGAACCCAGGAGGCGGAGCCTACAGTGAGCCGAGATCACGCCACTGCACTCCAGCCTGGGCAACTAAACGAGACTCCATCTCAAACAAACAATCGCCAGGAATAAGCCAATATATAGTTTGTTTGTTTGTTTGTTTGTTTATTTTGAAAAGAATGACGGCCCAAGTAACTGGAAATATACCATGCTCCTGAATGGAAAAGTTGGTATGAAGATGGTGAGTTTGTTCTATCGAACACATCTATAAATTCAAAGCAATCTCAAAAATCACAATATGATTTAACTTACTTGACAAGCTAATTCTAAATTTTATTTGAAAATGTGGGAGAAAACTAAAGGAAAACATTTAAAGTAACTCTATGAGTGGACTTAATGGCTATCTAATGGCTATCCAAATAGAATAAATACAGAACTCAGGCATTTAGTGCACTATTGGACCAGGAAAATGCAAGTTAAAGTAAGATACTACTTTTCACACATTGGCAAAAATTTAAGAGATAACAGTAGGAGTTTAAGACTGCCAGGCAGGAATGTCTTTGTTTACTGCTGATGGAAATCTAAATTGGTAGAGCAAGTCTAAATTGGTACAGCCTACTGAAAGAGTGGTAAAAACACTCATATTCTTCAATCCAGCAAGTGCACTGATTGGCGATGTGCGCCAGATAAACACCATTGAGTACAGAAGGAGGTACATACAAGGACATTCATGGAAGCACTGTTTAAATAGAAAAAGAGGGCCTGTTGGGGTGGCTCATGCCTGTAATCCCAGCACTTTGGGAGACAGAGAGGGATGGATCATGAGGTCAGGAGATGGAGACCATCCTGGTTAACATGGTGAAAACTTGTCTCTACTAAAAATACAAACATTAGCCAGGTGTGGTGATGTGCTCCTGTAATCCCAGCTACTCAGGAGGTTGAGGCAGGAGAATTGCTTGAACCGGGGAGGCAGAGGTTGCAGTGAGCCGAGATCGCACCACTGCACTCCAGCCTGGGCAACAGAGCAAGACCTCGTGTCAAAAAAAACACAAAAAACAAAAAAAAAAAAACAAAAAACCAGAAAAAGAAATTGGCATCATCCTAAATGTCTATCAATAGAGTCAAACGTGAACATTCATGTTGTGGATTATTATGCAGAAGATACAAAAGAATGAGGTAGATTAATAAGCAAAACATTTCTAGATCTGTGAGATTACTTCTGGAAGAGATTGGCATTTGAATGGGTAGACTGAGTAAAGATGACCTTCACCAATGCAGGTGGGCATCATCCTATCCACGGAAGGTTCAAATAGAACAAAATGGGGGAGGAAGTGTGAATTTGCTTTTTTTTTTTTTTTTTTTTTTTGAGATGGAGTTTCACTCTTGTTGCCCAGGCTGGAGTGCAACTGTGCAATCTCGGCTCACCGCAACCTCCGCTTCCCGAGTTCAAGCAATTCTCCTGTCTCAGCCTCCTGAGTAGCTGGGATTACAGGCATGTACCACCACACCCAGCTAATGTTGTATTTTTAGTAGAGACAGGGTTTCTCCATGTTGGTCAGGCTGGTCTTGAACTCCTGACCTCAGGTGATCTGCCTGCCTCGGCCTCCCAAAGTGCTGGGATTACAGGCAAGAGCCACCGAGCCCAGCCGAATTTGCTTTTTTAATCTGGGAAACCCATCCTCTCCTGCCCTCAGTTGTTGATGCTCTTGAATCTTGATCAAGCCTTTGGTCTCAGACCAGGACTTACACCACTGGCACTTCCAGTTCTCAGGCCTCTGGATCCAGCTTGAATTATCCCAATCAGCTTTCCTCGTTCTCCAGCTTGCAGATGGTATTTTGTGGGACTTCTTGGTTTCCATAATCTCTTGAGCCCATTCATCCATCCCACTGGTTGTTTTTCTGAAGAACTCTAATTTAGAGGCTGACTAGATAAGATCTCCAGAACATATTAAGAAAAAAAAAACAAGTTGCAGAGTATGAAATTTGCTTAAAACAAGCACATATATTTTTATGTCCTATACTACAAATACATTAAAAAATGTCTGCAAGATGTGTTTATTTTCCTTTATACAGGGTACTGGAATTGGAAGTGGAGATAATGAAAGGACCGTTTACTTTCTTTTTTTTTTTTTTTTTTTTTGTTGAGATGGAGTCTTGCTCTGTCGCCCAGGCTGGAGTGCTGTGGCTGGATCTCAGCTCACTGCAAGCTCCGCCTCCTGGGTTTACGCCATTCTCCTGCCTCAGCCTCCCAAGTAGCTGGGACTACAGGTGCCCGCCACCTTGCCCGGCTAGTTTTTTGTATTTTTTTAGTAGAGATAGGGTTTCACTGTGTTTGCCAGGATGGTCTCGATCTCCTGACCTCGTGATCCGCCCGTCTCGGCCTCCCAAAGTGCTGGGATTACAGGCTTGAGCCACCGCACCCGGCCGACCGTTTACTTTCAACTGTAATATTTTATTTAAATGTAAATGACTTATGGTTTAGTCTAGATTTTTAAAAATCAGCTAACTAGAAGAATGAGGTAGCCTTTAATTTTAGTACTAAGGGATAAACAGTATTTCACCCAACAGATGAGAGGGGAAAAATATGAATTAGAGGACATGCCAATTACTTAGAGATTAGAGGAAGTCAAGACTTTCTGAAAAACAAACTTCCAAATTTTGCCTATACCGCCAGGTTAGTTCAACACAATTCAACCCAAATTAGTAAGTACCTAATGTGTAAAAAGAATTGTGCCAGGTGTTGAGGATAGATCCTGTCCTCACTTTCACAAGCATCTTATTTGACTCATTTGATCCTTGCCATAATATGAGGCAGGTATCAGGATCTTTGCTTTTTAGATGAGACTCACATAAGTAACGTAATGAGTTTGGGCTGAATGACGGAATTTAAACCTGAATATGACTCAAATCAGCATATTTTTTTTTATTTTTATTTTTAATAGAGACTGGGTTTCATTGGCCAGGCTGGTCTCGAACCTGTGATCCACCTCCCTCGGCCTCCCAAAGTGCTGGGATTAAAGGCGTGAGCCACCGTGCCCAGCCCAAAATCAGCATTCTTTTCGTATGCCATCCCCTATCTCCAATGAGGGTGACTGAACAAGTGTGTAGTTCTCCATAATCAAAGTAGACTTTTATGTACCTGGATATTTCGACAATTTTCTGCTCTCCTTCCCCATCCCCCAATCCAATCCATACTATACTACTAAACTTCCTGAAGAGTACTCCCTTGCTCAAGTCTTTTTTTCTTTTGAGACAGTTTCCCTCTGTCGCACAAGCTGGAGTGCAATGGTGTGATGTCAGCTCACTGCAACCTCCACCTCCTGGTTTCAAGTGATACTCCTGCCTGTCTCCCAGGTAGCTGGGATTACAGGCATGCTCCATGCCTGTCTAATTTTTGTATTTTCAGTAGAGACGGGGTTTCACCATGTTGACCAAGCTGGTCTTGGACTCCTGACCTCAGGTGATCTACCTGCCTCAGCCTCCCAAAGTGCTGGGATTACAGGTGTGAGCCACAGTGCCAGGCCTCAAATCTTTTATCATATGGCCCCACCTTATTAATTTTATTTTCTACTCCTTTTCAGGCATCATATGCCTCAGTTACTTTCCTAGAGATTCCAAGATTGGAATTTCCAATTTCCACTGTTTTATATCGCACTATTTTCTAGGTGCAGCTTGAATACTGCTTCTACCCTGAAGCTTTATCTTCTGAGCACCTCATGGACTGTAGCCAAAGGGCCCTCAAGGCCGCTGGCAGTCTGACAGAAGTGCTCTCCCCTTTCCTCCATAAGCAATTACAACCTGTATGTCTGCAAATCTACATTCCCTCATCCCTTCTTCTCAGTATATGACCTTGCCTTGCTAACTCCAGAAAAACTTCAGAGACCAAGGTGAAAAGTCTTCATTTCCTAACAGCAAACCTACAGATTTACCATCTAAACCCACCTTTTCTTCCTTTTCCTCATGTAAAGAGGGCATCTTTCTTCTAAAGCTAATCCTTCCTCCTCTCCCCTAGGATCCCTCCCTTCCTGTTTTTCGAAGGGCCAAGCTTCTCTACTATTAGCTCCTTTCCCAGAAGTATTTGAACATGCCCATCACTCCAGATTTACAAAAACAAAACCTCCGAACCCCATACATTTCTCCTTCACTTACTGCCCTTTTCCCCTCACTTTGACAATCTCAAGCAAAATTCTTTCCCTGGCTTCTATGTGCCCTGCTAGTTTCCCACCCCTCATGACTCCTTTCCAACCTCTCTACTCATCTCTTGATTGTTGTCATTCTACCCCTGGGCAGTCAGTGACTACTTATATATTCATGAATCCCAAGTTTGTCCTGAAACCTCTCCTCCTTGTGTCATTATCACAGCTCTTACCAGGGGAACCAGTCACTGGACTACATATCACGATTTATTAACTGCTCTGAAGCTTACCACATAGATGAGGAAACTGGGTTTTGGCTATGTGCCTAAACTACATAGCTTTCAAGAGGCAGAGCCAGGATTTTAGCATGATTGTCTGCAGTCTGCATATACACCCAGATAGTCTACATATCTAACTCATTTTACCTGGATAAACTTTACCCTGCCTCATGTTCCCTCACAACCAATGAGCCAGAGGTACAAACCAGAAACCCCGTCACATTGTTTCCTCACTTATTTCTGCAGTCCAATGCATGATCAAGACCACGTAAATGGCATTACCACTGCCACTTCCTTGGATTATACTGCCAACCCCGGCATTCCCAGTCTTGATCCCGTAAGTTTCAGTCTTACCAGTTCAATGATCTAAATCTGAGATATCACTCCATTTAAAAAAACCCTCAGTAGCTTCCTGTGTTCCCCTACAGGATCTAACCACTAACCTACTTCCTTGTGGTCCCAAGCCAGTCTACATTATCAATTCGTTTATTTCCTATCTGATGTCATTCTTCCCTTTACGCCACCTTCTCATTTTAGCTGTAGATTCCACTTTCTCTAAACAATTCTCTACCTCCCAGAGTAGAACAGCTAATCCCAAATTGTCCCTATTTTCCTCATCACACCATACCACTTACCTATTATCAAGCAAATCAATGTGCTTTTTCCTTTACCTCAGTGAAGCTTGAAGCTAGCTTTTGGTTAAAAAATGAGCTTCATTTAAAATGTATTCCTGGCCAGAAGCAGTGGCTCACACCTATAATCCCAGCACTTTGGAAGACCAAGGCAGACAGACCACCTGAGGTCAGGATTGCCCCCAAATTACCTAAATTTTGTGGCAGAGAGAACCAGAAGTCCAACCTACTATATACAAGGTATCTTATCTGAAACACTTGGGACCTAGGTCTATACAGGAAATTCACTTATGCTTCATATCCACATACCCTGAAGGTTAACTACTTGTTCCTCAGGGACAATGAAGTGTTGTGTACCTGCATTTTGACCCTGAAGGTTAACTACTTCTTCCTCAGGGACAGTGAATAGTGTTGTGTACCTGCATTTTGACTATAAACCACCATGAGGGTAGGCTAGGGATTTTATAATTGTTATGTCACAGCTCAGTTTCAGAGGTTGGAGCTTCTTGGATTAGAAATATGCTCAACCTGTAATTTTTATACCTGCCCTATTTTCCTACTTTTTGTAAGAAAATTTGCAGGCCGGGTACAGCAGCTCACACCTGTAATCCCAGCACTTTGGGAGGCCAAGGTAGGTGTTACCACCTGAGGTCAGGAGTTCGAGTCCAGCATGGCCAACACAGGCAAACCCCATCTCTACTAAAAACACAAAAACTAGTCAGGCATGATGGCACATGCCTGTAGTCCCAACTACTCAGGCTGAGGCAGAAGAATCGCTTGAGCCCAGGAGGCAAAGGTTGCACTGAGCCAAGATCGTTCCACTGCACTCCTGCCTGGGTGACAAGAGCAAGACTGTCTCAACAACAAAAAAGGCCAAATGCAGTGGCTCATGCCTGTAATCCCAGCACTTTGGGAGGCTGAGACAGGCAGATCACAAGGTCAGGAGTTCAAAACCAGCCTGGCCAACATAGTGAATCCCCATCTCTACAAGAAATACTAAAAAATTTAGCTGGGCGTGGTGGCAGGCGCCTGTAGGCCCAGCTACCTGGGAAGCCAAGGCAGGAGACTCACTTGAACCCAGAAGGTAGAGGTGGCAGAGAGCTGAGATCACGCCACTGCACTCCAGCCTGGGTGACACAGCAAGACTGTCTCAAAAACAAAAAACAAAAAAACTGCTAGACTCTTGAGCATCAAGAAGCTGTCACTTTACCTATTTATGGCAAAAATATTTGTACAAGGAAAAAAAAAATGATCTGAAGCCAAGGTGACCATAAGAAAAAATGTCACTTGTGTCACTTGGTGTTCTAAGTTATCATGATTTCTCATGACATGATCAGTTATGACTTTGCAATGATTTTGCACTATCTATCCAAGTATGGGCAGAGAGTGAGATTAAGCAACTGATTATTTAATGTTTATTGTAATCCTACTATCAATCTGCCTCCTAACTCCAGTCTCAACAAGCTTTAAATCCAAAGGCGTAAATACATTTGCCAACATGTCAAAAAGAACCTTTATTACTTTTTTTGATTGCCACTTATGCTTTCTTGCCAGATGCCTTTGGAGCAGGTGCTTTCTGGGCTGGAGCTTTTTGACCCTTCTGAGCTTTTGGAGCAGGCGCAGCCTTCTGGCCTGTGGCTTTCTGGGCAGGAACCTTCTGGGCTGGAGCCTTTTTACTCGCGGTGGTCATCTTTTTTGCTGGAACTTTAGCAGCAGCAGCAGTACCCTTAGTACCAGGTGCTTTTTTGGGAGAAGCTTTCAGGAGAGCTGCCTTTTGAAGCTTCTTAACTTCATTCTTGATTATTCTGTTCCTCTGAAAATTATCAATGTAAGAAAGCATTTATTGTGTATACATACAATAAACTCCAATTTATGCTGGTTTCAGAAAGGGTATTAAGTGATCTGTTCCCCTGCATCTGAAGAAAAGTAACAATTCCATAAGGACATCATGAAATATAAATGAGGATAAATTCTCCCTTTTTACAGAAAACTCCCAAGAAGCTGGCAGCTTGAAATGGGGTTTGGCTACTGCTCCCTCATTATTCTAAAGCTGTTACACAAAAACACAGATCTTAAATCTTACCATTTTCTTTGCCTTCATAACTTTAAAACGATCAAAATCTGTCATCTTGGCTTTCTGTTAAAAAAAAATATATAAAAATTATCCCTCTCACACTACCCTGAACTCTCCAACAAAAGGACCAGAATTCAAATGACCCCAAGTTATTACCCTTTCTCTGGCTTCAATCTTCTTGGCCCATCGTGTGGCTGCCCATTTTGTATTGATGTCTGCCTTCTGCCACGCTTGTCGGACATACTTCTGGCGGGCACTAGAACGAGCCAAGACCACAGATCAGCTTTGAAGTCACTCATTATCAAGGACACTTTCTTTGTTCCTTGAAAAGCACTCTTCCTGTTACACTTTTTTCTCTACATAAGACACAACGGCTGGCACACTATGTATTTTACTCATTTTTGTGTTCAGTAAGCCAGAAAAGGTTGTAACTTCAAGCATATTTTAATCAAAACTGTAATCCAGTTCCACTTTTTTTTAGAGAGGATCTTGCTTGCCACCCAGGCTGGAATGCAGTGGTACGATCACAGCTCACTGCAGCCTCGACCTTCTTGGCTCAAGGCATTCTCCTGCCTCAGCCTCCCAAGTAGCTGGGACTACAGGTGCATACCAGCATACCCAGTTAATTTTTGTACTTTTTGTAGAGACAGGGTCTTGCTATGTTGCCCAGGCTGCTCTCCAACTCCTGGGCTCAAGCAATCCTCCACCTTGGCCTCCCAAAGTGCTGGATTACAGGTGTGAGCCACTGTACCCAGCCAAGTTCATTTTATGAATTTAAAAACTACCTCTCGGCCAGGCGCAGTGGCTCACATCTGTAATCCCAGCACTTTGGGAGGTCGAGGTGGGTGGATCACCTGAGGTCAGGAGTTCAAGACCAGCCTGGCCAACATAGTGAAACCCCGTCTCTACTAAAAACACAAACATTAGCCGAGCGTGGTTGCAGGTGCCTATAATCCCAGCTACTTGGGAGGCTGAGGTTGCAGTGAGCCGAGACTGCATCACTGCACTCTAGCCTGGGTGACAAGAGACTCTGTGTCAAAAAAAAAGAGAAAGAAAAAGAAAGAAAGACCCACCCGAAAACAAACAATACAAAAACCCCACCTCTGACTATATCTAATTCCACTCGGGCACTGGACGTGTTGAAAACCTTTTTTTTTCTTCTTCTTTTGAGACACGGTCTTGCTCTGTAACCCAGACTGGAGAATGCACTGGCGTAATGTTGGCTCACCGCGACTTCCACTTCCTAGGTTCTAGCAATTCTACTGTTTCATTCACTCAAATAGCTGGGACTACAGGAGTACACCACCACACCCGACTAATTTTTGGACTTTTAGTGGAGATGGGGTTGGCTAGGCTGTCTCAAATTCCTGGCCTCTCTTCCCGCCTTGGCCTCCCAGAATGCTGAGATTACAGGAAGGAGCCACTGCACCCATCCAAGCCATTCATTCTCATAACAAACAAAGTAATTAATGTTAACTCTTAGGCTCTTTAAAAAAAAATTTTACAGTAAAATTTTGTGGCCAAACATCCTAAAAATAAAATCCAAGGTGCTCCGGAATCCAAGGCAGAATTACAAGAGTACCTAGTGAAAAATCCAAGTTACCAAGTATTTTCTACTGCTTTGAACTTTGACAAGTATCCTCAAGCTTCACTCCTAATTGTGCTGCAAACAATGCGGTATGTCACAGTAGCAGCAGCACGGCTATGTTCACTAGAGGCTATTCAAGTGGCATGAGGGGACCACCAGTACTTCCATTATGTGTTAATACACGTACTGCAATGTCTGTAGCACTCAGCATACAGCAAGTTTTTGACTATTTTTTAAAGTATGCAAAATTACATTATTTAGATCTACTTTATCTGTAGTGGCCACGTGATAGTACATGTTCCACTGCAACCATCACTGTGAGTTGAATTAACTGTACAGCAACACACTAAAGTGTTTTAATTTTCATGTCAAAAAAGAACCGCTATTCACCGTCTCATTTAAATGTAAGCTAGGGATAAAACCTTTCATGTTAAATACTGTGTAACTGACACACACTAAGAGCTCGCCTAATGATAGCTAGTATCAAAAAACGTAAGACTTAGTATTTTTGTTACTTTAAGCTAAAAGTTGGGCAGAGACCAGAAGAAAAGAGGATGGCAAGTCTAAACAAAGGCAAAGCCCTAAACTACCAGGGTAGAAAAGTGACTTTAAGGCATTTATTTTATTTATTTTCAAGACAGGGTCTCACTCTGTCATCCAGGCTGGAGTGCAGTAGCATGATCATGGCTCTCTGCAGCCTCGACCTCACTAAAGTGATCGTGCGAACTCAGCGCCGCCGCGGCCCCCCGACCTGGGATTACAGGCACGTGCCACCATGCCCAACAAATTTTTTTGTATTTTTTGTAGACAGGGGTTTCCGCCATGTTGCCCATGCTGGTCTTGAAACTCTTGGGCTCAAGAGACCCTCCCATTGTGGCCTCCCAAAGTATTAGGATAACAGGCGTGAGCTATCACCCCCAGGACATTTTAAAAGTAAATAATCTCTGTCTACTTCTATAACCTAAATCCCTCTTCAGGATGGCTCGGAATCTTCCATATTGTTTACTCTAAAACAAACTTTTACTAGTATAAACAAATCTGGGGATGGGAGGGAGGAGTGATGATTAGTGGATTGTTACCTGTGTGGAAACTTGAGGATGAAATCAGTGAGCTGCATGCACTTGAAAGGCATGGCCTGTCTCCTCACTTGAGTGCAAGGTCCATCGACCAAAGCCTAGAACACAAACATCAAGAACTTCAGTGCAAAATCTAACAGCAATTAAAATGGTCAGATGGTTCTGTAAAATTACTTATCCGTTCGGGGCCATCAAACCCACACTACTATTTAAATAAAGTGCTCAGAAAAGACAAGGATTGTCCTATCTGGGTCACGTATGTTTACTTCTTTTGCTCAACACAAACATTTCTCCACACCATTAAATGCTCCTTTTTAAACTATTAGTACCCAATAGAAACCAACCACATGTAATTTACAGGCAACTTTAGGACTCTGATCCCTTTTCATTTATAGCCAGTGGTCAACTTCTTAGTTTGCCTGTCTCAAATACACAGCAGTAAATACAAAAGTGCTTTCTATGTGTTGGATCTGTTCTAAACTCACTTTATGTATAGTAACTCATTTAAAACTAACCAACTTTTCAGTCCATAACTGGCTCTACCTTAAGTGGCTAACACTTAAATTCAATACTAAGAGCTAATTTTAGACTGTGCTTACAACCCTTACCATTACCTGTTTCCTCAATGGTAAAATAAAGCTACCACCCACAGCATCGAGACACAGCCATCGAGACAATTCATTATTGTTAACTGCAAAGCACATGTCCACTGCCATGTTTAGTAAGAAGTTGTGACACTTACCCTGTTCTGATCAATAACATCTACAATCGCGACCAATTTTCCGGCATGAGGTCCAAAGGAGACGTAGGCCACCCGGCCAACCTCCACGAAGCGCCTGAACACCTAAAAGTGGGGGAGAAAGGGCAGTGAAACTTACTTATAAATACTTACTAGATATGTTACCTTCTACAGCTAAAGACGACATGGTTAAATTCAGCGAAAAGGAATGCTGTAGGGGAACACCCGCCCGAGCGCCAGGCGCCAACCTGGATGGACGAAATCGGCAGACGCCTCAGTAGCTAAAGCCCGCTCCCACCGCCACCGCCTGCCAGCTCTCAGCTCCGCAAGGCCCAGGCGGCGGGCGGGACAACGCTCTCGGACCACGAGCCGCCTCAGCCGTCCAGCTCCAGCGGCGGAGGCGCGCAAGCGTGGCCCAAGGCGCGCCAGGCCTTGCCGGGCCCTCCACGCGCTCGCCAGCCGCGAGTCCGAGAAGGGTCAGTTTCCGGTGCACAGCCGGCCCGGGGACCCTCACCATGCGGTTCCCGGGACCCTCTGGGAGCCGTTCGGCGCCTCAGCTTCCCAGCAGAGGTGGAGGTCGAGCTGCATGGTCGCCAGCCCCTGAGCCCGCATCAGTAAGACTCACCATGTTGGCGGCGTTAGGCGAGAAGGAAGGAGGCCCGCCCAACCGTGCGCATGTGTAGAAGAACGCACCGCCCCTTCGGTAACGAGACGCCGACGTGGGCACCGATTGGTTGGTGCGTGAACCCGTGCGTGCGTAGGCGCAGCTCGCTGGAAAAACATGGCGGAGCCGGCTGGAGCCGAATTGATTGTCTTTGGTGATTTGGATTGGAGAGCTGCAGGAAGATCATCGCTTAGTAATTTAGGGTTAAGAGTACGGAAGCTATGTCTTCCGTTGATCGCATGCCATTTGACTTGCTTTTTATTTCCCCGAGTTTTACTTGTTGGTTATTCATGGCTTAGTACTAAGCCTGTTCGCTCCTCACGTTCTCTCCCTAATCTCAGTAACTTTGTTAACCTTTCATTTTAAAGTAACTCACACTTACAGAAATATTGCTAAACTAGTACAAATAATTCCCATAAGCCCTTCTAGATTCCACAAATGTTACCGTTTTGCACGTGCTATATCATTCTGCCATTTGAGAGGACATTGCCGACATGATGTCCTTTTATCTCTACTTTTTTTTTCTTTTTTTTTTTTTTTTAAGACGGAGTGTCGGTCTGTTGCCCAGGCTGGAGTGCGGTGGCGGGAACTCGGCTCACCGCAACCTCCGCCTTCCAGGTTCAAGCGATTCTCCAGCCTCAGACTCCCAAGTAGCTGGGACTACAGGCGCGCGCCACCATGGTGGGCTAAGTTTTTTGTATTTTCAGTAGAGACGGGGTTTCACTATGTTGGTCAGGCTGGTCTCTTAACTCCTGACCTCGTGATCTGCCCCTCTTGGCCTCCCAAAGTGTTGGGATTACAGGCGTGAGCCCCCGCGCCCAGTGTTACATTCTTTTATAGAGACAGGGTCTCCCTCAGTCGCCCAGGCTGGAGTGCAGTGGTGTGATCACGGTTCCCTGCGGCCTCTAACTTCTGGGTGAAGATGATCCTCTTGTCTTGGCCTTCCAAAGTGCTGGGATTACCAGCGGGAGCCACCATGCCCAGCCTATCTATACATCCTTAAAATGTGTATTTCCTAACAACAAAGAGATTCTCTTATGTCGTCAGTACACTTATCAAAATCAGGAAATTAATATTGCAATAGTACTGTTATCTAACCTGTAGTCCTTATTCAAATTTATAAGTTGTTGCTCCTATGTTCTTTGGAGCAAATGGGGAAAAAAAATTTTTTTCCAGGCTCTTGGTCTAATGGAGGATTACAAATTACATTTATTTATCAGGTCTCTAGTCTTTAACTGATAGTTTTAGATTTAACTCAAATTTGTAACATGGGTTTGTTGGAGTTTTATTCAGATAGTGAATTTTTGGTAGAAATGCTATGTCCTTGGTGCATCACATCAGAATACATTCTCTCTCTCGCTCTCTCTCTCTCTATATATATATCTATACACACACACATATATATATTTTTTCCTTTCTTTTTTTTGGAGACAGACTCTCCCTCTGTTGCCCGGGCTGGAGGAGTGCAGTGAGGAGATCTCGGCTCACTACCACCTCCGCCTCCCGAGTTCAAGCAGTTCTCTGCCTCATCCTCCCAAGTAGCTGGGATTACAGGTGCCTGCCACCATGCCTGGCTAATTTTTGTGTTTTTAGTAGAGACGGGGTTTCACCATCTTTGCCAGGCTGGTCTTGAACTCCTGACCTTGTGATTCACCCGCTTCAGCCTCCCAAAGTGCTGGGATTACAGACGTGAGCCACCGCGCTCGGCCACACACATATGCTTTTTAAAAAGAGATGGGGTCTGGCTGTGTTGCCCAGGCTGGAATGCAATGGCTATTCACAGGTCTGATTGTAGCCTACTGCAGCCTTGAACTTATGGGCTCAAGCAGTTCTGCCTCAGCCTCTGGAATAGTTGGAACTACAGGAACACACCACCACACATGGGTTCCCAATATTGTGGTGTTATTTTATTTTTTAGATTTTTACCTATGCCAGTGGAGAGAGGTGTTACCTTTTATTACTTGATTAAGGTGATCTTTGCCATGACAGTTCCCAGATGTGTTTCAAGTCTTTCCTCTAAGCTCTATACCAGCATATCTTCCTGAGACTGCTCTAGTAGCCTCCTAAATTCTGTCTTTAATCTGTTTTCTGCTTGGCAGTTAGAGGGATCATTTAAAGAAATAAATCAGATCACATTATTTCCTGTTTTTAACACTTTTAAAATTGCTTTTCACTACATTTGGAATAAAATCTAAACTTCTTACTTTGGCCTTGTATCATATGCTTTAATACCCAGATACACCTTATGCCATCCCTCCTTGTGTTGCAGCCACACTGGTCTTGAATGGGCCAAGCTCTCTCTTCCTCCAGGACCATTATACATGGTGTCTCTCCTGCCAGGAATGCTCTTCCTTCTGTTAATACTCCTTGTGTAGCAGTGCCAACTTATGTCTTGTATTTTTTCCTAGATATTTTTCTGAGAGTTAACCAGGCTACCACATAAAAAAAATAGGTTAAGTCCCCACCCTTCTTTTTCTAGCTCACCTTCTTCCCCTCAGAGTTATCACAGTTGCAATTGTTTGACTTGTTTTTCTGCCCACTTAGGTGTCGTTTTGTTTCAGTTAGAGTAAGTTCCATGAGGGCAGGACCTTTGCCGTCTTTTCTGTTTTATTTTCTGACCTTAGTCTGGTAAGGGGCTCAAAAAATAGGTAGTGAATGAATCAGTCTTTAGGTCTTGGTGTCTTGCTTTATAATTTACAAAGCAAACAATATGAATGAAGAAGAATGTTCATTTTAGCATTTTTTTTTTTTTTGGTAATATCCCCAAACTCGAAATTACCCAAAGGCCCATAAACAAGAGACTGGATAAATTGTTATAATCTATAGCAATGGAGTCTACAGCAACTACATGGAACAATGCAGATGAATTTCATAAATAACACTAACAAGCTGACATATGCTGTATGCTTTTATTTATATCAAATATATGCTGTATGCTTTTATTTATATCAAATTCAAAACAGTCAAGACTACGGTTCTTATAAGTAATGATCATGTTTACCTTTGGTGCAAGCAGCAGTGGCTAAAGGGGAAAAGGGAGCTTCTGAGCTGCTGGCCATGTTGTTTCTTCATCTGGTATTAACTACAGGAGTGTGTAGTTTTTGTTTTTAATTTTTTTAGAGACAGGGGTCTTGCTATCTTGCCCAGGCTGATCTGATACTCCTGGCCTCAAGCCATTCTCCTGCCTAAGCCTCCTGAGTAGCTAGAATTACAGGCACGAGCCACCCTGCCCGGCTGAAGTGTTTAGCTTGTGAAAATTCAAAGCCCTATCCATATGGTTTATGCATTTTCTCACCAAATGTATGTTAACCTAAAAAAAAAATTTTTAATGCAGTTTCCTGGCTGCACAACCAGAGAACTTTATTTGCAGGTCTGGGGAGGGGTAAGAATCTGCATATAAAAACAAGCTCTCAAACACACTTTGAACTTCCTTGAACACATTTTGAGAAACACTTTGGGACTCCCCCTACAGTTACAGAATTATTTTCTAAAGTACATTATCTTGTTATGTCACTCTTGTTTAAAGTTGATTTTTGTCCCCTATCTTACAGGGTAAAGTCCAAACTCCCTAGTCTGGCATTCAAGGCGCTCCAAAATCTTACTCCCAAACACCTTCCTAGCTTTTTTCTCCCACCATTCTGCGTCTCCCATTTCTATTTCTCGCAGCATTTTATGCAGCTTGAACCCCCTGCTTTCCTAATATGTGCTCCCCACAAGCATCTCAAGATCCCCATCCCAGGCAGCCCTAGGCAGTTTTTAAGTTTCTACCAAGCTCCACTATACTGGCAAGGCAACTTTCCCCAAGCAAGTCTTGTTTGCTTCGGAAAGTCGCAGGCGCCCAGGAATGAACAGGATAACCGCTAGTGGCTCCAGATGTCAGAAAACAGATGACCAGATCGAGCACGCGCAGATCTCTGGTTGGTCGGCTGTGTGCCTCCGGAAGGGCCGTGCTCGTCCAATCACCGAGAGGGAGGGCACGTTGAGGGTGATGCCAGGAATCAAGATGGCGCCCTCGGTCCGCTCTCAGCCACTTTGGTCTCTACCTGAAGAGCCACGCCCCGTCTGCTACACCCAACCGGTTGGTTCTTCAATCACAGAGAGGAAAGGCAACAGGAGGAAGACGTCAGGCGCAAATATGGCGTTCCGGACGTGCTCTGCAGTTTGCTTGGCCTCTACTCAAGGTGCACCGGATGTCCAATCACCAAGGTGCACAGTCCGCTCTTAGATGTGGAGGCAGGGGCTTAGGAATTCAGACTTAGGAGATGTCAGCTGGTACTGTGTACGAGCTGTCCTGTAAGCCGTCGCCCGTCCCCTGAAGCCGCACTCCTCCCGCTTATTGCAAGGGACGGATGTGAAGGGCTGGGCGGGCGTCGAGCTTCGGGTTCTTGCAGTGGGGCATAGACCTGAGGGCACTGGTCCCGCGGCCCAGATGGGGGATGCGGGGGACAGTTGTAGCACGTCCACTTGTCCCACAGTCTCTGCGGTGTTGACGTGGCCAGAACTGCCTGCCTGTAACCAGATTGATACCTGTATTTCTGTCAGCTTCAGCTAATTAGCTGTGTCTCGTTTTGTTTGTTCAGGCACTGGGAACGGGGGCGTCAGTTTAGCAGACAAAATATTTACCTGAAACCCCAAAGAAAAAGAAATATAAGCCAGTACAAGAATCGAGCCAAAAGCTGTGCAGAACCCTGACTTTCTTTCTTGTTCCTGTAACTAACCTTCCCAAGAAGTGAACTAACCCTAGTTATGACCAAATTGACGTGATAGCCATGTGCATAACTACCTGGCAACGTGGACAGGAGCATTTATATTTAGGAGTGAAAAAATGTTTGTTGTATCTGTTTTTGAAATTTGTAATCTTAGGAACCCTGAAGCTAAGCAAGACTGTTCAAGCCCAGTCAGCCTAAGACCACCAGGGACGAACCAGTAGTCAGCAAAACCAGGTCTATCGACCTTTTTTAATGAGGGAGATTGCACACCAGAGACACCATGGGACATTTTACCAAAGGAAGGAAAAGATAAAGTTACGGAATTTTGAGAAAGTTTAAAGTTTGAATGGAACTTAAATGAAACAGGGTTTTAATAGCCTCAAAGCAAATCAGGTCTGTGAAAAAGGGTCGACATCAGGCCTAGACTGCGGAGTGGACCCATGGTCCTATTTCTTTGAAAACCTCTTTTCTGAAGCTTTGCAACTGGCTTGTAAATTGAAGCTGTGTCTCTGTGTTAAAGTGACTTAGATCCTCCAAGCAAGATGTTTTATTCTTACTGACACAATTTCAAACAGCAAATTTCTGAGGGTCTTTGATTTTAGAGAACAAAGTTTCTTAGTGAGACAGTGAGAAAGCAGTAGTCACTCAAAGAGGGTTATTATGACACTAAAGATTAAGCATGTCCTTGGCAACAATAGTTTCTTGTTAACTTTGCAGCTGTCTTTATTTGTGTTTGTTTTTCCTGCCTGATGAATAACCACGCAGATTTTTCTTCTCAACTGAGCTTGTATTTACTTATTCCTTAGGAATGCTGATGGTATAGCAAGAAGGTATTCTGAGCATTATATCAATGGGGAGGTTCTAGATCTTTCGCAAAGCAGGAGGTAAGCTCACAAACCACAGGTAATGACACACTCTGGAATAAAAAATGTCCGTGATGAGGAGGAACATTGGCCTATTACAGAAATCTGAGTGAGAAGCAAATGAAGGTCATCTTAGCAACTCAGTGATTGCCCACTTCCAACTTCCTGTTCCCAAAGTGGCTGATAGACTCTGGAATGGGTCAGGACACTTGGGATGCAGTGCCCAACTCCTCAGTAGTACAAGTTTGTTCAACACTTCAAATGCCTAGATAGGTTTGTGTGTGTGTGTGTGTGGTCTGTCCCTTGTATTTAACAAACAAGGAGGTAGTGTTGGTTTCTGTACCTTTTTTTTTTTTTTTTTTTTTTTGAGGTAGAGTCTTGCTTTGTCACCCAGGCTGGAGTGCAGTGGTGCAATCAGAGCTCACTGCAGCCTTGACTTACTGGCTTGAGCCATCCTCCCACCTCAGTCTCACAAGTGTCTGAGACTACAGGCACGTGCCACCATGCCCAGCTAATTTTTAAATTTTCTGTAGTGATGAGGGTTTCATTATGTTGTCCAAGGTGCTCTTAGACTCCTGGACTCAAGTGATCCTCTCGGCCTCTCATAGTGTTAGGATTACAGATGTGAACCTCTGTACCACGCCCTGTTTCTTTGTTGTTGTTGTTTGTTTGTTTTTACTGTACATATTTCGCATCAGTGGGCTGCAAAGTCAGGAGCTAGAGATCAGTAAGCAAGATGAAGATCTTTGACACTCTTTACCACAACATAAACAATAGGTGGAGTAATTTATGATAATTCAACCCTGGGAACCCAGGGTGAATCACTGGTGAATGCTAAGTGACTAAAACAGTGCCTGGAGTATAACAGGCCCTTCGTAAATATTTTGAGTGAATGAATGAAAAGGCAAAGCCTTAGAACATACTAAATGTCTATCAAAAGAGGTCTGCTTAAATAAGCCTGCCTACAGAACTGCCGAAAAGCACCAGGCAAATCACATAGCTAGCTATACTGATTGAGAATGCTTTCCAGGATAAGAATGGAAAGTTCTGTGTGTGTTGGAGTCTTAACAACACTAGAAATAGAACCATGGTGCAAAGAGCTTTCTGAGAGGCCTGCTAAGCAGGAGAAAAGCTCCTGTATCACCATGGAAACAACTCTCCCCCAAAGGAATGACAACAAGGACAGGTGCTAGATAATGCAGCATAATGAACATAGTGGTAAACAAGGATGCAGAACAAGTGACAGGGCATTCAGGGAGAAGAGATGCTGACATGGTGCCATCTAGAAGGAATGAACATGTATTAATTCATTTAGCAAATACTGAATGCCTTGTGTGTGCCAGAAACTATTCAAGGAATTGAAGACATAGTAGTGAACAAAACAGGCAAAAGTTCTACTCTCATGGAACTGTCATTTGAGTGGGTAGATACAGAAAATAAGCAAATAGTGTGTCATATGGTGGTAAGTGTCACAGAAAAATAAAAAGGAGGATGGAGAGTACTAGGGTGGAATTGCTTTAAGAGGAAAGGGTAGTTATTTTAAATAGGAAAGTGAGGGAAGGCCTTGAGGAAAAAAGTGACACTTGAATTGAGAACTTCAGGAGATGAGTGAGCACTTCGTGTGGCTGTCTGGGTGATGACAATTCCAGGCAGAGGGAACAGCAAGTTCTCTCTCAGCATGTGTGTGGAAGGGCAGGGAGACCAATGAGGCTGAAGTGGGGTGACTGAGGGAGAGAGAGTATGAGATGAAGGAGCCAGGGCATGTGGAACCTTGGAAGCCACTGGAAGGACTTGCTTTTACTCTCAAGATGGGAGCCAATGGATGCTTTAAATGGAGCAGTGACATGATCTGACATGTTTTTAAAGATTATACAGGCTTTATACAGGTTTTATAAAGATTATACAGGTTTTAAAGATTATAACATTGGGTTAAGAATGCCCTCCTCATCATAGACTGTAGGAGGCAAGGTTGCGGTTGGAGACAAGTTGGATGGGTGTTACATCTTGGCTTTTTTTTTTAAAGGATTAAATGCATTAACATTCATTAAAGGCAGTAGTAATATGTAAAAAGGACAATGCTGGGCCTGAAAACCTGAGTTTTGTGTATCTCTGTACCAGCAGGGACACTGTTTCGGAGGTCACTGTGGTCCTAATAAACAAATATTCGGAACCCAAGTTGTACCAAATATTTACCAAGGGAAGCAGTACTAGGGCTTAAGTTTCTCTTGGCATAGATCCTGGATCAAAAATGTTTCTATTATGAAGAATTTCCACATGTACAAAAATAGAATAGTATGTATAATAAACTCCCATGTACACATTATGCTTTCTCAAAAATTATCCACACAGGGCCAATCTTATTTCATTTCTACTCATTTACCACTCTCTCTTCTGTTTTATTTTAAAAGCCAATTCAAGAAATTTTAGCCATAAATACCTCAATATGTATCTAAAAGATGATTTCTTTAAAAGAAATATAACCCCAATAGTATTATCACACCTGAAAATTAACAAAAATTCCCTAATATGTTCAAGTATTTATTCCAATTTTGGAGGGATTCTTGCACCTTTGTCCATATTTTCTGAGAACCTGTAGTTAATCAAAAGCCTTCCGAGAGACAACATCAGTTTTGGGAAGACCAGTATTTAAATTTTTATCAAATAACTCCAGAATTGTGGCTAAGAACCAGTCACACACACACATTCACATAGAACATTTGCATAGCTAATCCTTGTAGCACTTATAACAAACACTAGGCACCATTCTGAGTGCCTTACACATATTAAATCATTTAATCCTTGCAAAAGCCCAAGATGTAACCTCCAGAATAGAGGTGATATTATTATCCCTACGTTGCAGGTGAGGAAACGGATAGGGAGGCTAAATAACTTGTGCCCCCTCAGATGGCTAGTCAGTGCATCGTTCAGACCCAGAGTCCATCCTCTTAACCGTGCAGAATCCATTGAGGGTGTAAAGTTGTTAGCTGGATCCAATTAGATTGAGGAAAGTAGCGGCGATCCTAGTCAAGGAATAAAATTGCATCTACTCAAACCTAAGAGTTGAAAGAAGTTATGATAAAAATTAAAGGGAGCTTGAAGGACAGCTCAAGGACTTGTGATATACTTAGTTGTCAAATCATGATCTCAGACTTTTTTTATTTTTAATTTTATTTTTAATTTTCGTGGTTACATAGTAGGTGTATATATTTGTGGGGTACATGAGATATTTTGGTACAGGTATGCAATGCATAATAATCACGTCATGGAAAATCGGGTATCCATCTCCTCAAGCATTTATCCTTTGTGTTACAAACAACCCAATTATACTCTTTTAGGTTTTTTTAAATTTAAATTTAAATTTATTTTTATTTTTATATTTTTTTGAGACCGAGTCTCTCTTTGTTGCCCAGGCTGGAGTGCAGTGGTGCAATCTCGGCTCACTGCAAGCTCCGTCTCCCGGGTTCAAGCCATTCTCCTGCCTCAGCCTCCTGAGTAGCTGGGAGAGGGGACAGTCAGTGTGGCGTAATAGAGGCACTTGCAACCACACCTGGCTAATTTTTTGTATTTTTAGTAGAGATGGGGCTTCACCATGTTAGCCAGGATGGTCTCAATCTCCTCACCTTGTGATCCGCCTGCCTTGGCCTCCCAAAGTGCTGGGATTACAGGTGTGAGCCACCGTGCCCAGCCTCTTTTAGGTATTTTTAAATGTACAATTAAATTATTACTGATTATAGTCCCCCTGTTGTGCTATCAAATACTAGTCTTATTCATTCTTCCTAAATTTTTTGTGTATGCATTAACCATCCCCACCTCCCCTCACCACACCACTCACTATCTTTCCCAGCCTCTGGTAACCATCCTTCTATTCTCTATCCCTATGATTTCAATTGTTTTGACTTTTAGATCCCACAAGTAAGTGAGAACATGTGATGTTTGTCTTTCTGTACCTGGCTTATTTCACTTAACATGATGATCTCCAGTTCCATCCATGCTATTGCAAATGACAGAATCTCATTCTTTTGATGGCTGAATAGCAGTCCATTGTGTATAAGTACCACATTTTCTTTATCCATTCATCTGTTGGAGATCTCAAACTTAACACACCACACAGAGCTCCTGATCTTCAGCAACCCCTCCCTATTAATCCACTAAACCTTACTGTTTAGTTTTCCCCATCTGTGTCAATGGCAACTCCATCCTTCCAGTTGTTCAGAGCAGACACCCTGAAGTCACCCTCAATCCTTCGCTTTTTTTTTTTTTTGAGACGGAGTCTTACTCTGTTGCCCAGGCTGGAGTGCAGTGGTGCGATCTTGGCTCACTGCAACCTCCGCCTCCCTGGTTCAAGTGATTCTCCTACCTCAGCCTCCTGAGTAGCTGGGATTACAGATGCCTGCCACCTCGCCTGGCTAATTTTTTTATATTTTTAGTAGAGATGGGGTTTCACCATGTTGGCCAGACTGGTTTTGAACTCCTGACCTCAAGTGATCCTCCCACCTTGGCCTCTCAAAGTGGTAGGATTACCGGTATGAGACACCTCGCCCAGCTGATCTTCCACTTTCACATCCCATATCCATTCAGACAAAAACTCTTGTTGGCTGTACCTTTAAAATTTTATTGAGAACCTGACTACTCTCCTCTGTTACAACAAATCTTGTGCAAGTCACCACTATCTCTTGTTTGGATAACTGCAATAGCCTCTGTGGTGGACACTTCTAAAATGGCCCCTAATGATTTCTGCCCTCTGGTATTCAAACCTTTGCATAATCCCTTCCCCTTCAGAAAGAGCTGGACTTAGTGACTTTCTTCTAAGGCATAGACTATGACAGAAGTTTTGGGATATACTTCTGAGATTAGAGTATAAAAGACTGTGACCTCTATCTCTCTGTCTTTCTGTCTGTTTCTCTGCCTCCCTCTCTTTTCTGTTTGCTTGCTGTGATGAAGCAAGCTGCCCTGTTGTGAGCTCTCTGGTGGAGAGCCCCACATGGCAAGAAAATGAAAAGCCCCCTGGAGAGACAAGAGCTGAGGCCCAGGATACAATATCCTGAAAAAAACTGAATCCTGCTGACAACTGCCCAAGTGAAGCTGGAAGTGCATCTTTCCGCAGTGGAACCTTGAGATGACTGCAGCCCTGGCTGACAACTTGATTGCAGCCTGTGAAGGACCCTGAACTAGAGGACTCGGCGAAATTGTGCCTGGATTCCTGACCTACAGAGGCAGTGAGATAATAAATGCTGTTGTTTGAGGCCACAAAGTTTTGAGGTATTTGTTAATACAGCAACGGATACTTAATACAGCTTCCTACATGGTCTCCCTCCTTCACCCTTCACACTACAGTCTGTTGTCCACACAGCAGTCAGAGATCCTTTTGAAACGTAAGTCAGATCATCATGACACTTACTTCCTTGCTAAGTGGGCTGCAAGGCCTTTCACAGTCTGATCCCCTATCCTCTCTCTTTCCCCATCTCCTATCATTCTTCCCCTTGCAAATTTTCTTCCAGCACGTGGGCCTGCCTGCTGTTCTTCAGTATGGCAAGCAACCTGCTGCCCGGAGCCCACACACTGACTGTCCCCTCTCCTAGGACACTCTTCCCTCAAGGGCTCCCACATCTTGCCTGCTGGCTCCCGCATCTTCTTCAAGTCTGCTTAAATGTCACCTTCTCAGTGAGGCCCATCCTGGCTATCCTCTTTCAGTTCTGACACAAAATAATTTATCCCTTTATTACATCGTTATTTTGTTGTCTTCCCTCCTTCTGTTCCTACTAAAATTTAATCTCTAGGAAAGCAGAAAACGTCTTGTTCTTTGCTGTAACCCAAGTGCCTCGAACATTGCCTCATTAATTGCTTGCACTCAATAATATGTGTTGAATAAATGGGTTAAGTAGTTTATTAATTGTGAAGCTAAATCCCGTCTGAAAGGTTTGGAGCAGCTTGTTGAAATAGCAAATAGAGATTCTGTGTTTTAAGTTGTGGTTTAGGTAGAATCATCCATGATGTACGTGGAGCCAGATCCTGCGTCCTGGAATCAAATATCTGTATCTGACCTGTGGGTAATTATATTGCTATCCTATACCTTTGACCCATTCATCTCGGCTCACCTGTGATCCAGGCTATACTCCTAAACTTGGGTGAGAGAGTCTGCAACACAAGGAAAACACAGAGCCATCATTTAGTAAATCACACCCATAATAATACATTTTGTTGTTAAATGTAGCCAATCTCTGAGTATTTTTTATTAAAGTATCTCTAATGTTTAAGAGCATCTAACACATTCATCATGTTTCACCTGTCCTCAGCCCCCGCTTGGCTTCCCTCCCATATGCGTCAGTGCCCAAAGTCCAGAAGGGGCCAAGGTGGCAGGGAGCTGGCGTGTCAGTGCTACCCTGAGTGTGTGCCCACCTGGCTGGGCTGTGACAGTGCCCGGGTTCAGCCCCAACCTTGCTCCATAATTGGAACGGGCACTGGGAGCAGGGAGAGGCCAGGCAGTGGGAGCAGACACTTCGCAGGGGGGCCTTCCTGGGCCCCCAAGAACACAGAGATGCCTGGGTTTGCAGCCGGGCTTGGGCAACTGCAGCAGCACCTGGGGAGGGCGGGGCTTCTGCCTGTTCCGTGGAGTGTATAACCCCAGCAGTGCCTCCCTGCTGCAGCCGATGTCCTGGCAGTGGCCACTCTAGATCGGCCACTGATGCCACCAGTATGACATTAATGTAGTAGATTTAAAATTTTCAGGGGATTTAATTAATCATGATTTTAAGTGGTACTAATGTTTCTGGAAATTTAATCTCTTAGACTTGACTTATTTGAACATTCATCATAGAGCAATCTAAAGTTATTGTTTCTAATTTACATAAAAATTACTACCTATAAAACAGAATAATAACTTTATAAGTTGAAATAAAAGCCTTAAGAAAATCTAGGTTTTTAAACATAAGACTTTAAAAATTAAATATTATTTTAATGGCTAGTAACTGTTGATAGTCCATTCTGTGCACAACAACCCCCCTTGGGCATTTGAAAATAAAAATCTCTACTGACCATTTTGAAAGAATGAGTTCGAGGATACATCCACAGATTGGAGCTTCAGCAGGAGCAGGACATGGAGAGCCCAGGAAACTTGAACAAAATCATAGAGGTCACGTCTGAACAAGAATTGATTACGTTCAATTCTGGTCATTAGAGGTAGCATCAGACCCAGAAAAGGCATCTGGAAAGCAACTATAGAGGGGAGTTAGTGTGCATCAATTTTAGCAATGAGTTATAGAGTCAATAACTATGACTTAAACATTTATTTTCCTCTTTTGTGGAGGTCCTGGGCTGGCCTGGTCCCTCAGCTCAGGGATCCAGCTCACTCTTCCTACATCACAAACATCCATGAGGTGGCTCTTATTCTCATTACTTCAGGCCTACAGATCTTGCCCTTACACTTTGCAGCAGGATAAAGGAAAAGGGCAAAAGATGTGTGTCCACTGTTCTCTCAGGAAGAGTCTTGGTTGCCACGTCAGGACACTTCTGCTTCCTTCCCATTGGCCAGAACTCAGCCTCATTACCACACCTGCAAGCAATGCTGGGAAATGGAGTCTCTGCTTCTGGTGGCTTTGAGCCTTGCTAAAAATCAGATGTTGTAGAACTATTACTATGGAAAAAAGCAAAAGCAAATATCAGGAAATGGGTACTTACTACTTTACACATATTCTGTGGGCAGCAGCAAGCTGTAGGAGGTGAAATTGTAAATCTTAAGACTTTATGTGGAATGGCACAGTTAAAATAGGGTGGAAGTGATAGTCATAAGTAGTCACTGAAATGTATACAGGAAAACATGGGCTTGTTCCTGCAACGTCACAAAACACCAGCTGGGGATTATGTTGAAAACCCAAAAAATGTCATTTTAGGGCAGGTAAGTATTCTTTTAGAATCAGCATTTTAGAAACAATAAAAAAACCCCCAAACTGAGGACAAATTAGCCTATGAGGAGGTATACATGGAAAGTATAAATTGGGTCTAAAACTTTTTCTCTCCTTTCTTTTCTTTCTTTCTTTCTTTCTTTCTTTCTTTCTTTCTTTCTTTCTTTCTTTCTTTCTTTCTTTCTTTCTTTCTTTCTTTCTCCTTTCTTTCTTTCTTTCTTTCTTTTTCTTCCTTCCTTCCTTCCTTTCCTTCCTTCCTTTCTTCCTTCCCTCCTTTCTTCCTTCCCTCCTTTCTTCTTTCTCTCTTTCTCTCTCTCTCTCTCTCTCTCTCTCTTTCTTTCTTTCTTTCTTTTCTTGATAGAGTCTCTCTCTGTCACCCAGGCTGCAGTGCAGTGGCATGATCTTGGCTCACTGCAACCTCTGCCTCCTGGGTTCAAGTGATTCTCCTGCCTCAGCCTCTGGAGTAGCTGGGATTACAGGTGTGCACCACCATGCTTGGGTAATTTTTTTATTTTTAGTAGAGACGGGGTTTCACCATGTTGGCCAGGCTGTTCTCAAACTCCTGACCTCAAGTGATCTGCCCACCTCAGCCTCCCAAAGTGCTAGGATTACAAGCATGAGCCACTGCACCCAGCCAAGTATCTTTTTTTTTTCTTTTTCTTTTCTTTTCTCTTTTCTTTTCTTTTTTTTTCTGATGGAGTCTCATTCTGTTGCCCAGGCTGGAGTACAGTGGCTTGATCTCAGCTCACTGCAACCTCCCCCTCCCAGGTTCAAGCGATTCACCTGCCTCAGCCTCCCAAGTAACTGGGATTACAGGAACCCACCACCATGTCCAGATAAGTTTTGGATTTTTAGTAGAGTCTGGGTTTTGCCATGTTGGCCAGGCTGGTCTTGAACTGCTGACCTCAGGCGATCTGCCCATCTCGACCTCCCAAAGTGCTGGGATTACAGGCATGAGCCACTGTTCCCAGCCTAAAACTTTTTCATAATTTCATCAATGGCATATTCCTAGGAGAAACCATAAAACGTTAAAAGAAACTGCTTTGCTTACACAGAAAACAGCCTTCTTATATAAAATCCTGGGCTGGAAGTTCTTGTCAACAAATTACCCTTCTATTTTTTATTTTTTATTTTTTTGAGACAGAGTCTCACTCTGTCACCCAGGCTGGAGTGCAGTGGCATGATCTCAGCTCACTGCAACCTCCACCTCCCAGGCTCAAGCTATCCTCCCATCTCAGCCTCACAAGTAGCTGGGACTACAGGTGCAGCCACCATGGCTGGCTAATTTTTTGGGGGGTATTTTTTTGTAGAGCCTTGGTCTTGCCATGTTACCTAGGCTGGTTTCGAATGTGGCCGAATTAAGTTCCCTCTTTCTTCTTTACCTCATTTCCTGGAGTCAACCACTATTGTGCCTCTATCTCACTATAAGTTCCTCTTGTTTATTCTTGGCCTTCGTATAAATTGTATCATACAGTATGTATTTTTTTGGGTCTGGTTTTTTCAGCTCAACGTTATGTCTGTAAGAGTCATCCATGTTATTCTAGGTATTAGGAGTTCTATCCTTTTTATTGCTGAGTAATATTCCATTGCATGAGTATAACACAATTTTTTTTTTTTTTGAGATGGGGTCTCACTCTGTCCTCCAGGCTGGAGTGCAGTGGTGCAATCATGGCTCAGTAGAGCCTCGACCTCCTGGGCTCTAAGTAACCCTCCCGCCTCAGCCTCCCAAGGAGCTGGGACTACAGGCACTCATCACCACGCCTGGCTAATTTTTTTTTTTTAATAGAGACGGGGGTCTTACTAGGTTGCCTCCCCAGGTGCTGGGATTACAGATATGAGCCACCATGCCTGGCCCAGATGTAAAGTTCTATCAACTTCATCTTCTTTAAGATATTTCGTTTAGAGGTGACTAAGTCACTTCATTCTGGCTGGTTCCCCATACACCTTCATCACCATTCTGGAGATTTCCTTCCCATTTTCTCCCATATTGGATCTCCTTTTTTCCTGGAGTCCGTGCCTTTTCGTTTTCTTGGGTTACTCTCTTCTTTTGGTGGAACACACCCTCCAGTTAGCTCCCTATAAAAGGAAGCTGTCAGAAAATGTCTCTTTTCTATTCTCACACCTAATTGATCATTTGGCTGGATACAGAACTCTAGCTTGGACATAATTTTCCCTCAGAATTTTGAAGGCATTACTCCATTGGCTTCTTGCTTCCAGAGTTATTGTTGAGAAAACTAAATCCATTCTCATCTTCATCATTTGTATGTGGCCTTTTTTTTTTTTCCTCCCTCTCTGGAAATTTATAAGGGGTATTCTTTTTCTTTTAACGTTCTGAATTTTTATAGCATTGTACATTGGTGTAAAGTAATTTTTATTTATTGGACTGGGCCCTTTCAATCACATCCATATCCTTCTGTTCAGGGTAAAATTTTCCATGTATTTCATGGGTGATTCTTCTTTTTGAAACTTGTGTTATTCAGATGGGAGTTTTGGTGGACTAGTCTTAGAATTTTGTTTTCTTGCTCTTTTTCCCATTTCTTTGTGTTTTTTCTTTCCTCTCTGAGAGTTTGCCTCAGTGCTATCTTTGAACCCTTCTAGCGAGTTCTTAATGTCTGCTATCATGTTTTAAATTTCCAAGAACTGTTTCTTTGTTCTGAATATCTAATCTTTCCTTTAAAAAATAGTTTCTGAGCTAGACATGGTGGGGTGTGCCTGTAGTTCCAGCTACTTGGAAGGCTGAAGTGGGAGGCTTGGGCCCAGGTTTTCAAGGCCAGCATGAGCAACATAGCAAGACCCTGTCTTAAAAAAAAAAAAAAAAAAAAAGAGAGAAAAAAAAATTGTTTCATTTCATTAATATAATGTCCCTTATTTTTCTCATAATATTAATGAGTTTCCTTTTATGTTTAAAATATTTTTTTCTTGCATAGTTTCTGTTTCTTCCAATTCATTTTTTTCTTTCAGTTTGTTGGGCTCTTTATCCATATACTCTAGCTGATGGGTTTTGGCAGGCTATTGAATATATTAATTTGGAGTCAAGGGGAGAGGTTGGAGAATAAAAATTTTATCCAACTCAGAAAGCTGTTATAAAAATTAAGTGATGTAATGCATATAATTTGTTTAGCACAGAGTCTGGAATATAGTAAGCATTCAAATGTTTGATGGTATATTTTATTTTATTATTTAATGGCTGCGTCATATTCTTTTAGCATACAGATGAACATAATTCACCTAGCCATTCCTCTACGGCTATTGAAGATCAGGCTTACTTTTTACTTTCTACTATTATGTAAATAGGGATGAGTATTTTTCTGA